TGTTTTGCAAATCTTTTGTTTGAAATCATTTTGAAATCACTAAGTGATTTATTTCTTTCTAAGTTTGGGCCGAAAAGAGACTTGCGTCTCGATTTGACTTTAAGAGATGTTTTTCAACAGCTCATTTGGTAATGTACCGACCTCCCGGGTCAGATCATTACTTCTCGGCTCCCAGAGCCATTCCACTTGATTAATCGGCTCCCAGAGCCTTTTTCAATTTCTCGGACTCCCAGAGTCCAGCTGCCCAGCAGCACAACAATCCGCTTCCACTCGGGAAGCCTAGTCTATGATGCCCGCAGACATCCCGAATCACACAGATTCGTTTCTGACCACTCAGGTCGTCCATCTGCCACATAGGCTGATTCTGGTTACGATTCCCACACCACAACAACTTTTCACAAAGCACAGGCAAACAAATCTACGCAACGGGAACCACCTCACATCCGCCCATGACCGTGGGCACGGCTGTTCGAACAGTTAGTTAACCTCTGCAGAGGGGTACACTTTACCCACAAGATACGAACTTATTCCGAACACCCGTCGGTATCGGAGGTTCGCAACAAAGCCTTTCCCAAGCCGACCCAGGGATATCTCATGCCACATAGAAGGATCAAAACCTCACATAAACATAGGCCATTTTAGGCATTCACAAATCAAACTCCAACCACCTTGATCGGTAAGTGAGCAAGCTTCTCGTCCTTGCCTTACCAGGAACCCAGTTTGTCCGACCCCGCCCCGGCGTTCCCAACTATTGGCATGCGAGGTTTCCCTGAACCGACTAGTTACTTAGCCAGGGTGTCCCATTCCACCTTGTGGTTGCACTTTGATTATGTTCGATGAGTTTCCCACAGGAATCGGTCCTTATATGCGAATACGGGACAGTGCCACATAGGCACAACCCCCGTATCGCGAGTTTTCACAATTCATTTTATTTTCAAACACATCGACACCACATGTCTAGTTTTGAAGACTTCACAAACCCATTTCCCAAGTTTTCGACAAACAACGGTGTATGTGGGATATTTGGTATACGCGCTCAGAGAGCACGAATACCGAGGTACCACAAGGGTGGAGCGACAAGGAATCAGGGTAGTACGACCTACGGAAATTAGTGCGACTACTGGGTAGGTCCGTCGGTTTGGCACGCAAACCGAGGCCAAGCAAGTTAAGTGTGTGATTCTAATAATGCAAGTTGTAAACAAAATAATAATGACTTTTCAATTATAGGGGCAATTGATCAAAGGGTAACTTGCCTTGCTCAAGGTCTTCACGAAGCTTCACGAATCTTCGAGAAAACCCGCGATCGACGAAAATCCGATAACCACAACTATACGCAAATAATCGAAAACCTAAACAAAAGACCAAAAGAAAGATCCTATTTAGACTAATTAGTAGTGCCATTAAATAGATCTCAATTTACGGAATTATTGGAAGTGGAACGGAGTCAATCGGAGTTGCGAATTGGGTGATATGAATTTTGAAAGTTTAATTGGAGTTTCTGGAATAGGAGAGATGATTTATGGAATTTATAGAAATAATATTCTCAAGAATATTATTGACAGTCATTGAATCCGGGACCAAGGAAAATGATTCATGGAATTTTGGAATAAGGAATTGATTTATGGAACAAGGGTGGAAAAGGAAATCAAGGAGGGATGTATACTAGACTTGTTTCGGTGGCATTGGTGCGGCCCAAAGGCTAACGCGGCTCGGCCGAACCAAATGGGCCGGCGCGGGCGCGAGGAGGCGGCCCATGAGGGCGCGCGGGGAGAGAGGGAGGCCCGTCGGGGTGGGCGCGGTCCACCGCGCGGGACCCACATGGCGGTGGTTGGGTTCACGGTGGGGAGGGTGCACGCGGAGGCGGGCGCTAGGGTTTCGGATGCGCGCGGTTCGGGCGCGGCGCGCCGGGTGGACGGATGGCGGCGGGCCCACGTGCAGCCGCACGGCTTGCCGTGGACCGCGCGCACGGGAGGGAAGACGGAGGGAGGAGGCTTACTGGGCGCGACTTGACCCAGTCAAGCGGGCCCAGGGCTGAGGTGGCTGCCACGTGGTCGGCCACGCGGGCAGGGGCGAAAGGGGAGGAGGAGGAGGAGGAGGAGGCGCCCGGGATCGGACGGCCGACGACGCGCGAGGCGTTCCGGCGAGCGGCGGCGAACCGGAGCGAGCGGCCACCGCCGGCAGCTAGAGGAGGTCAGGGAGAATCCGTTTAACGGCACGGATTTGAGAGGGGAGGTACGACGGTGGCTGGCGGCGGCGACCAAGCTCGCCGGCACGTCGACGTGGCCGCGCGCGAGAAGAGCTAAGGGTGCGCGGGCTCGGGCTTAGCCGAACCGGTATGGTGTTGCGACGCGCACGCGGTGACGCGGGACCCAATAGTCACCGGCGGCGCACGCACGGCGGCGTTAGGCGGCGGCGGAAGCGGCGACACGGCGCGGAGACAAAGGAGAAGGCCGACGGCCTTGGGGCAGCCAGGGGGAGGTCATGGGGATCCCCGGGAGCGTGGCGGCGAGAGGAATCGACGCGAGAGGAGCCGACGACGGTGGATTGCGGCGGCGGCAATCACCGGAGATCAAAAGGGGAAAACACGACGAGACGACGAGGGTTCGATTCAAAGGGGTGGGAGCATCTCCGGGGTTCAAGGAATCCGTTTCCGGCGTCGGATTGGACGGAGCGGCACTGAGATTGGCTGGCGACGAGAGGCGGCCTCCGGGACAGAGCAAGAGCGCGTGGCGAGCTATGGCGAGCGGCGGCGGGCGCGGCGCATCGCGCGGCAGGAGGAGGATTATGGTGGGGAGCTCACCAATCGAAGAGGAGGCAGCGTTGGCGGCGCGGTCGGTGTCACGGCGAGGTGTTCGCGACGCCGAGGCGGCACGGCACCGAGAGGGCGCAGCCGGGGAAGAAGGGAGGGAGAGGTGGTGCCCGGAGCTCCTCGTCACGCGTCTACGCACGCACCGGCTCCTCCGGTGCTTCGGCAACGGCGAGAGCGGGACGAGCAGCAACAAGGCGGCGACGGTGGTTCGGCGGCAATGGCGCGGTGGGTGTGAGGACTGAGGCGAGTGAAAACGAGAGAGGAAGGGGTTTGGGGTGGTTTGGTTTTATAGCGGAGGCGAGGTCGGTTTGGGGAGGGGAGAACTGACCTTGGCGGTCAAGTGCTCGGCTGGCGGTAGCGGCGGTTTCGTGGGCGGTGCGAAAGCGGCGACGGCGTGGATGCGTTGAGTGGCGAAGGCGGTGGATCGAGCGGCGGAAATCGAACCGCTGGAGCGCGGGCTGGCGCGGTCGGTCAAGCGGCGCAGAGGTGGTGACGCCGGCAGTGGTCGGGAAAGGGAAAAAGAAGGGGAAAAAGGGGCTTGGTCCCTTGCCATAATGAGGGGAGGGAGAGTGAGGAGGAGGAGGAGAGGGAGAGTAGCTGCTTCTCCCACTCTTGGACGGGTGCGGCGTGGAGCGGCGGGGGGGCCATGGATGACGTCGACGATGACGGCGGCGGTCAGTTTGGCATGGAGCGGGGGCAAGGCGGCAGCGCATGGCGTTGGCGGCGACCGGCCGGTCGGCCACCTCGCGAGGCGCGCGCGGGAATGGGCGAAGGCGGTGGGGGTTTTGGGCGGCGACGGCGGGAAATCGGCGCCGAGGAGAGGGAGATCGAGCGAGAGAGAGAGAGAGAAACATAGAGAGAGAGAGAGGAGGAAGACGAGAGAGCGAGAGAAACAGAGAGAGCGAGCGACGGCTCTCTCTCGGCTCGCATGCGTGCAACGCACGAGCGAGGGGGGGGAGATGATGGGCTGGGAGGGGAGATGGGCCGGGGGAGGAGAATCGGTCCATCCAAAAAAAACTCAGGGAGGTAAAGTAGACTTTTACAGAGAAAACTGATTTGGATAGAATTGGAGATTTAGGGTTTGGATTCGAATTCAAATTTGATATTCAAACTCGAGGGTTTAGGGATGTATCAGGGGAAACTCAAGGAGAAGTCATGGAAAAGATTCAAAAGGAATACTTGGGTATTTGTTCTCGGGAACATAGGGTGGAGTCAAGGAAAGGATTCGAGGCGGGATTTGAAAAATTCTGGATTCGTAGAAGTATTTGGCGAGGATTCAAAGGAAGGATTTGAATTTCAGAATTTGATTTCAGAGACTCGAATTGTAAGGGGAATTTGGATGAGGGGGAGGATTTTGATTTCGATGAGAGGGAACAACGGGATTAAATTGGGATCCTTGGCACAACTTAGACTCTCACACAAAGAACGAAAATTTTCGCAATTAGGATTTTGCCGAGTTAGTTTTTAACGACTCACGAAAAGCGGAGCGTTACATAAATCGTGAATTTGCATATTTGATCTGAAGTTGCGTTTCTTCGGATTGTATAGCGCCCGTCTCTCCTCTCGTCTCCTTGTTCTTTTCGCTAGATGAGCCGATGTCGCGCCGTTGTCACCTGAAGCATCGATGTTTCCCTGCTCTCATTTATCTTTCTTCCATGTAAGCAAATTTGTCTAGGTGACACCAGAGAGAGACGGTAAATAATAGTAAATAATAGCCTTTGTACATTCCCTTATGTAGTTGTGCAGTCTATTTTTGGTGTGCGAGTTCGGAGTTCGAAGTGTTCTGAAGAATCTCTTCTTGTAATTTCTAGAAATGGCATTGAGGAAATTACCAGTCTTGGCTTAAAAACAAGTCTGTCTCGTCATTCACCGTGCTTATTTAGGACTTGTTCAACTCCTGTAGAAATTCTCGAAAATTCCTCGACTTTAAATGGAGCCTTACCATTTTTTAGCAGATGCAACAACTATTATACTCCTACCTGATGACTGATGAGGACTGTGCAGCGATCGATATGTGCATGTGGCCATGTCCGAAGCTAATTAAAGGACGGAAGGACCACAAGTTGGTGTATAATAATGGAGAGGGCATTGAATCATTGTTTCAATATCCCCATCAGATAATATTCAATAACTCCTATGGTGACGTCAAGCATCAATACATGAAGGTTACTTGTTACCACCATCAGACAAGCATATAATTGATTGCTCTGATCAAGCGATAGCAAAACAAAATACAAACCAGAACAGTCTCAAAGCTTCGCCCAAGCAGAGAAGAATGGCCGCCGGAGGAGGAGGAGGAGACGAGCTGAAGCTGCTCGGATTGTGGGCGAGCCCGTACGTCCTGCGAGCGAAATTCGCGCTCAGCTTCAAGGGCCTGAGCTACGAGAACGTCGAGGAGGACCTCCACAACAAGAGTGAGCTGCTCCTGAGCTCCAACCCGGTGCACAAGAAGGTGCCCGTGCTCATCCACAACGGCAAGCCCATCTGCGAGTCGCAGATCATCGTGGAGTACGTCGACGAGGCGTTCCCTGACGCCGGCGAGTCCCTTCTCCCCTCCGACCCTTACGACCGCGCCGTCGCTCGCTTCTGGGCCGCCTACATCAATGACAAGGTAAAAAACGACCAATTGCCAGAGAAATCAAGAGAGAATAGCTGATGATGAGGGGTGTGTGTGTGTTTGCATTGTCGTCGCAGTTCATGCCGGCGTGGCAGAAGGCGTCGTTGGGCCTCACGGAGGAGGAGAAGGCGGAGGCGGTGAAGCAGATGCTCGCCGCGATCGAGAACCTGGAGACGGCGTTCAAGGAGTTGTCCAAGGGGAAGCCCTTCTTCGGCGGCGACACCGCCGGGTACCTCGACGTCACGCTCGGCGCCGTGGTCGGCTGGGCGCGCGCCGGCGAGGTCCTGTTCGGGAGGAAGCTCTTCGACGCCACTAGGAGCCCTCTCCTGGCGGCGTGGATGGAGCGGTTCGTCGCGCTGGACGCTGTCAAGGCGGTGTTGCCGGACAATGCCGAGCTGATCGAGTATGGCAAGATGAGGATGGCGCACTACGCCAAGCTTGCTGCCGCCTTGGCTGCTGCGAACAAGAAGTGAGCCGGCGAAGCAAACCTGTAGTTGGTGTGTGTCCGTTCTCGTTGCTCGTGGTCTCGTGGAGGATGAAAGCTGGTGCACCATAGTCCTTCCACACCGTGAGGTTGAGTTGTGACTTTTTTTTTCTTCCAGTGATCCGTTCGATCGGATCGTCATGTGATTCTGGCGCATTTAACTCAATAAAAGAAAGGAAGAAGTTCAAATTACCCGCTTAAACTATTGCGATGGTCCAAATAATTCGTTAAACTAGAAAACTATAAATTCAATACACGTACTTTAAATCAGGTAAATAACTCTTTCAAAATTATTCTAGACCGGCTCGAGATAGTACGCGTGGCGTCAAGGTGACAATCCAATTAGAAAAAGAAAATCATAGCCCAGATATCTCATCCCTCTCTCTCTACATGTCTCTGTTGGGTGGGTGCGGTTAGAGGCGGAGATCGGTTAATTTGGAGCCGGGGCCTGACAGCATAGGTTGTTAGAGGTTGGAGGTGGAACTCGATTGGCGAGGATGCTGAAGGCTGCTAGCGGGAGCAAAGCTCGGTGGTATAGATGGCAATAAGGCCCGCCCCACCCAGGCACAGCCCGAGGCGATCGGGCCTGCACGGCACGGTCGGCACTTCGGGCCGTGCCGTGCCTGTCCACAGGCTGCACCTCAGGCCCAGGCACGCCCCACCAGCAGTCGGGCCGTGCCGGAACAAAAATTACCGGGGGTCCAATGCTTACTAATTATCTAATTTTTTACTTATATACTAATTAACACCATATAAGTTAGTTAGAATTAAATAATTTACCCGGGGTCCGAGGATCCCGGGAAAATGTACCTAGGATCGCCACTGGTGCCAGCCCGAAGGCACGGGTGGCCCATCGTGTCTTTTTTGAAATAAGTCTATTTCATATCCTTCTCTTTGGGCTATGATATATATATATATATAGCTAAATAAGTTTAGGCCGTGCCATATAGTACGTCTATTTTTCCTCTATATTTTTTGTGTCGTGCCTTACATATGGTTGAAAATAAATCTGTTTAACATCCCTGAACTTCGTGCCAGGCTGTGTCGGCCCAGCGTGTCGAGGTAGCAGCCTAGGCACGGCACGGCTGTCGGGCACGGCCGGCACGAGCACGACCCGAGTCGGGCCGTGCCGTCAAGCCTTGAGCCATATGGCTATCTAAACTCGGTGGAGAAGTATTAATTAATATTCTACCAATATTAGCACCAATTACAGTAATTTTATTTGTTGATTGTTAAGTTTTACTTCTAGTAGAATAAATTAGTCTAGTACTAAATACTTAAAATATAGCTATATCTATTATATAGATTTATATTAGAAATATTAGATATATTTTAGAACAGAGGAGAGTACGTAAGATATAGTATAAGAGCAAATTCAATGTATATGTAACAGTTGATCATATCCGGTGGAAATGACATTAGTTAATACCAGCTCTACAATGTTATAGGGATGAAATGAAATTAAGGTGGGTTCTACCCAATCCCATCAAGCCATAAAAATCCGGTGAACTAGTGTGAATAATAAGTTAATAAAATAATTATATTTAATTTATTGGGCACAACTTAAATTAAGTTAAGATCAATTTTTAAATCTTAAAGTTTGTGGTGCGTTTGCGCAATGTTTTAAGTGTTGTATTAATTGTTTAATTTTTTTTAAGTAATGATGCCCTAATAAAAAACTAAAAAAGGAACGGTCTAGATTAACCTACAACCAATGGACCATATACTTATTAATTCTGCAGCAACTGAGCCTTTGTTTAAAAAAGAATAAATCAAAGGCAAACAGCATACGCATCTTTCTAGCTGGAAAAATCGGCACAAAGGTAGCATCATGGATGACGCTTTGATGCACGGCTCCATTCTCCACAATCACCCACAAGTCGAAAACCCAACCTGAAGTCCTGAACACAGAACACCAAGAGAACCCACTAACGCAACACACATACACACAAACATCGACACATCGTGTCCATCGGAGGCACAGGAGAGATGGCCGGCGCCGGACGCGACGAGCTGAAGCTGCTCGGCATGTGGGCCAGCCCGTATGTCAGCAGAGCCAAGCTCGCGCTCCAACTCAAGGGCGTGAGCTACGAGTACATCGAGGAGGATCTCGGCAACAAGAGCGACCTCTTCCTCCGCTCCAACCCGGTGCACAAGACGGTGCCGGTGCTCATCCACAACGGCAACCCCATCTGCGAGTCGAGCATCATCGTGCAGTACATCGACGAGTCCTTCCCCTCCTCCGCCGCCTCCCTCCTCCCCGCCGACCCCTACGACCGCGCCGTCGCTCGCTTCTGGGCCGCCTACATCGACGACAAGGTACGCGCGCGTGTAAATTGCAACTTAACTCTCGTGTATTTTCACCGGTGCGACGCCGCTCACCGGCGTGTGGACTGTGCAGCTAGCGGCGCCGTGGAGAATGGTGTACAGGGTGAAGACGGAGGAGGAGAGGGACGAGCTCATGAAGCAGACGCTCGCGGCGGTGGACGTGCTGGAGGGAGGACTGAAGGAGTGCTCCAAGGGGAAGGGATGCTTCTTCGGCGGCGACAGCGTCGGCTACGTCGACGTCGTGCTGGGTGGCCTCGTGTCGTGGGTGCACGCCAGCGACAAGCTCTCCGGCGCCAAGCTCTTCGACGCCGCCAAGGCGCCGCTGCTGGCGGCGTGGCTGGGGCGCTTCGGCGAGCTGGATGCCGCCAAGGCCGTCCTGCAGGACGTCGACAAGGTGGTCGAGTACGCCAAGAAGTTCCAGCCAAGGGATTCCGGCACGGCTGCAGATCGACAAGCAGTAAACTAGGCCGGCATTGCGACGTCCAAGAGAAGTACTGAGATCTGCTGCAGATTATTGAATTATTCAATGCCACTTTTGTTGACTATGTTAGCTGATTCCTATCAAGAACCTGATCCACGTTCTCTCAAAAGTAAAAGATGCGGAGTGTTGTGCCTGCCCAAACAGATGTGATGCGTCTCCCGGCTCCGATTTTTTTTTATTTTATGAACTTTAAATTTTTAATTTAAAAATAAACCCTTTCAAAAATATATTTTCCAGATCTAAACACTAACACTATCACAACAGTCTAGTTGGCATGACAGCGTGTTATTTGGTCACACCGGTCTGGCTGGCATGGCATTAGTTGATCACGCCACCCTCGTTGGCATGGCGGGACATAACTGTCACGGCCGCTATGTGTAGCGTGTCGATATTATTTTGCCACGGGCTGACGTCGCCAAATGGTTCAAATTCTGTAAATAAATTTTGTAAGAGTCTATTTTTAAAATTAAAAAATTCCCTAGCTCATATTATAGAAGTAACTTAAAAGAAAAGAAAAGAAACTTGTCACACGGCATTATAAGTAAATCTGTTATGGGGGTAAAAATATGAGTCTATCCAGAAATTAAATTTAATCAGTATAAATTATGAAATTGACTAAAACTGATAATAAAATAAACAACTCAGAAAATTATAAATGTATAAAAAGTAATTTAATTAAATCTAAAAGTAATTTTTATATGTAATAAAAATAACTTTTACAACATAGTTTTTTTATCACAATATAATTATATAAGATCTTATTGTAAAGATTTAATTGCAACGTACATAATGGTGTAATCGGATAAATAATTTTAGAGAAAAATTTATAAGAAGAAAAAATGGCATGTGCTGTTGTGTGTACTTTATTGGTTAGTTCTATAATATATTGATTAAATTTAATTTATAGATAGACTAATATTTTACCTCATAATAGATTTACTTTTAATGCCGTTGTTTTGTTTTAAGTTACTTCTATAATATGTGTGATGGGGAAAAGAATATGCCACCTCATTGGGCTTTTATCGCGGCCTTATTTATTGTTAGTGGGCATTTCGATAGGCCTAGTTAACTGAGGGCCCACAAGCCTTATTACTAACAGATCTTCCCCACAGGCCCATAACAAATCTTGGTTCATAAAGTGGTTTGATATATACTAACCCTGAATAAGACAACTAGAGAAACGCATAAAGTGGACAGTCTAAGTTCTTAAAAGAAATAGAAAGGGAAAATTTTGAATTGAAAATGCGAAGATCAACCTTTTTTTTTAATTCTTGCGAGCTATTTTATCCACATGTGACATGCCCCCGTGGCCTTATTTTAGCTGAACAGTGTTCTACGGTTCTACCGAACCCATTCATCACCTTGTAAATTATATTGGCACAAACCCAGTACTCGTGGAATCAACGGGAGGTTTGTATATTCCTGGCAAGATCCTCTCTCAAGTCAAACCGCAAATGCCTTCATGGTGGTAATTTCCTCGGCTTCTCGTGCAAGGAAGACATGTCTGCATCTCCATAGTCAAACCTCTGCATACGTTGCAACTTGCAACTTAAGCAACCGATCAAGTCGGATTTTATATACGCAGGCGCATACTTGATTTTGATTAGGAAATCTGAAAACTCCCCGGGCGTAGTGCAGGAAATGGCAGGAGGAGGAGGAGCAGGCGAGCTCAAGCTGCTCGGACACTGGGCGAGCGCCTACGTCACCAGAGTGAAGCTCGCGCTCCACCTCAAGGGCGTGAGCTACGAGTACGTCGAGGAGGATCTCCGCAACAAGAGCGACCTCCTCCTCGCCTCCAACCCGGTGCACAAGACGGTGCCCGTGCTCATCCACAACGGCAACCCCATCCGCGAGTCGCAGATCATCGTGCAGTACATCGACGAGGCCTTCTCCGGCGCCGGCGACTCCCTCCTCCCCGCCGACCCCCACGAACGCGCCGTCGCTCGCTTCTGGACCGCCTATATCGAAGACAAGGTAAATTCGGTTCTCTTCTGATCAATTTTTCATTTGTGTGTGAATAAATTCAGTTCTCTTCACTGCCGATGATCGGTGAGATGATACGTGTGTGATCTCGTGCGTGCCGTGCAGCTGGTGGCGCCATGGGAGAAGGTGTTCAGGGCCAAGACGGAGGAGGAGAGGGCCGCGTGGATGAAGCAGATGTTCGTCGCGGTGGAAGCTCTCGAGGGAGGCCTGAAGGAGTGCTCCAAGGGGAAGGGATGCTTCTTCGGCGGCGACAGCGTCGGCTACGTCGACGTCGTGCTGGGGGGTGGCGTCTCCTTCGTGCACGCCAACGACGTGATCACCGGTGGAAAGCTCTTCGACGCGGCGAAGACGCCGCTGCTGGCGGAGTGGTTGGGGCGCTTCGGCGAGCTCGACGCCGCCAAGGCGGTGCTGCAGGACGTCGACAGGGCAGTGGAGTACACCAAGGTGCTGTACGCACGGAATGCCGCCACTACCGCCGCAAACAACTGAATTTACTCAGCTTAAGCAGGCGTCGCGACGTGTCTCGGGCTCTCGGCTGGCTGCGTGCCTTGCTCGGACAAATGTACGGAGGACAGCTGTGGATTAGATTGTTCAGTATTTTCACTCGCTGTGGTCGTTATCTGTTGATTGCTGAAATAATTGCCATGAAATAAATCGTTTCCTAAGCAAATGATGAGCGGTTCGATCGGCGAGCAGGACGTCAACAGGGCGCGCGGTGGAGTACAACAAGGTGTTGTGCTTGTACCACGGGATATCCCGCCACCGCCGCAAACAACTGAGTTAGTTTAGTTAAGCCGGCGTACGACGTGTTTCTGGCTGTCTCGGACAAATGTACGGATGTCTGGTTTGGATCAGACTGCTCAATATATACTCCCTCCGTTCCATTTTAAGTATAATAGAAAAAGAAACTGTATAAAGAAACTTGAGCACTAAAAGAAATGCTCAGATCGTATCCATACCATAATATAAAAAACTGGAGGACGATGGTTCGACTGGAGAAAACCGAAACCAGACCTAAGCACGGTTTGGTTTACTTCAAAGACCGAACATGACTGCTTAGAACCAGCTGAACCGGTTTTTAGACGAATGGGACATAAAACCATTACTGGTTGGACCAGTCAACCTGCAAATGGGCTGACTGAAGGCCCATTTGATCAATGCTTGCTGCAATACCGCTACTGGTTGGACCGGTCAACCTGCAAATGGGCCATGATTTTATACTAAATTTTTTATACCTCCTCAAGATCTGTAAAATTGCTCTTGTTCTAAATAGAAGAATTTCCTTTGTTCTAAACATAAGAATTTTACAGTCCTTAAAAATGTATTTCGAGGTATTTTAATTTTTATTAAATTTTTTTATACCAGATATCAAATTCTACGCTCCAAAATATGATACCTTCAGGTTAAAGAATGATAGAATTACCCTTCTAAAAAAACAAATCAAAGGCAAACAGCACACGCATCTTTTTACATGAAAAAATCAGCACAGAGGTAACATCATGAATGACGCTTGATGCATTGCTCCATTCTCCACAATCACCCACAACCACAAGTCGAAAACCCAACCTGAACACAGAACACCACGCACTACATTGAAATGAGCATACGCATTTTTCCTCTCGTTCTGACCAAGAGGAACCCATTAACGCAAGACACACACATCGACACATCGTGTCCATCGGAGCACAGGAGAGATGGCCGGACACGACGAGCTGAAGCTGCTCGGCCACTGGTCGAGCGCCTACGTCACCAGAGTGAAGCTCGCGCTCCACCTCAAGGGCGTGAGCTACGAGTACGTCGAGGAGGATCTCCGCAACAAGAGCGACCTCTTGCTCGCCTCCAACCCGGTGCACAAGACGGTGCCCGTGCTCATCCACAACGGGAACCCCATCCGCGAGTCGCAGATCATCGTGCAGTACATCGACGAGGTCTTCTCCGGCGCCGGCGACTCCATCCTCCCCGCCGACCCATATGAACGCGCCGTTGCTCGCTTCTGGGCCGCATACATCGACGACAAGGTTTGAGCTCTTCTGAATTTGTGTGAATCTCTGCACTGCCATGGTGATGATGATCGAATCTTCTGAATTTGTGTGAATCTCTGCACTGCCATGGTGATGATGATCGAATCGTTGACGAGATGTGTGTGCTCTCGTGCGTGCAGCTACTGGCGCCATGGAAGAAGGTATTCAGGGCCAAGACGGAGGAGGAGAGGGCCGCGTGGATGAAGCAGATGTTCGTCGCGGTGGACGTTCTGGAGGGAGGCCTGAAGGAGTGCTCCAAGGGGAAGGGATGCTTCTTCGGCGGCGACAGCGTCGGGTACGTCGACGTCGTGCTGGGGGGTGCCGTCTCCTTCGTGCACGCCAACGACATGATCACCGGTGGAAAGCTCTTCGACGCTGCGAGGACGCCGCTGCTGGCGGCGTGGTTGGAGCGCTTCGGCGAGCTCGACGCCGCCAAGGCGGTGCTGCAGGACGTCGACAGGGCGGTGGAGCACACCAAGGTGCGGTACGCACGGAATGCCGCCACCGCCGCAAACGACTGAATTAGTTAAGTTAAACAGGCGTGGCTACGTACGTGTCTCCGGCTGGCTAGCTTGCTCGGACAAATGTACGTCTGGATTAGATTAGATTGCTCAATATTTTCACTAGCTGTTGTCGTTACACTACTATAGAAACACACATGCATATTGACACTATATAAGTGCCGGAACAGCCAAAACCGACACATATAGTGTTTCTCCCATCTCTACGGGCTGAAAATTAAAAAAAATAGGAACCTTTAAACAAAGGTGCTGGTTTTAGAGAAAAACCGGCACCTATACTACATGTATCTTTTTTTAAAGGTACCTACAATATATTATTGGTGTCGGCTTTTAATTAACCGACACCTATAATATACTGTAGGTATCAGTATACCATAGATTATTAGTTCTTTCAAAAACCGAGCCGAGCGCGACATCTCCCGTCCTTATCCGTACTTGCCTCCCCCACCACAAATCTCTCGTTCTCCCACGCCTCCTCTCTCTCCTCCCTCGCCCCCTCCTCCTCTCCCTCTCACCTCCCTCCCACAACGGATCCACCCCCGCGGCCGCCACTGGATCCACCCTCGGCCGCCACCAGATCCACTCGTGGCTGCCGCTGACATTGCCGCCACCACCGAATCTGCTGTGGGAGGGAGGCGAGAAGAGACAGAGGGAGCCACCGCCGCCGGATCCACCTGTGGCTGCCGCTGACGTTGCCACCACCGCCGGATCTGTTGTGGGAGGGAAGCGAGAAGGGACAGAGGGAGCTGCCGCCGCCGGATCAGCCCGTAGTCTCCACCACCGCTGCCGGATCCACTTGCGGCTACTGATAACAGCGCCACTGGCGCCGGATCTGCCGTGGGAGGGAGACGAGAGGGAGCGGAGGGAGCCGCCGCCGCTGGATCCACCCGCGGCTGCCACCACCGCCGCATCCACCAGCGCGCGTTCGCCGCCATCTGCCAATACTCTACTCTTCTCTGGAGGAGTATTATTTTAGCAGGAGACGGGTGTTCCATGACTTGTGCGGCAAGTACACAGCATAGTGTATTTTTCAATGGCAAAAGTTTGTTAATTCATTCCTTGCTGATTAATTGGCTCCCCAAAGAACACTCAATGTCACGATTACTTGTAAATGTTAGACTTTGCTCTAGGATCACCTAGGTTAGATCTCCTTTTAGGGTCGGAATATCTTTAATGCAACCCATCAAGGAGGAGCCACCTGAAATAATCATGTGCGGTGAGAACAAAATTAACATTAAAATATTATGCATTAAGCCTATATCACCGTTGGGCAGAATTAGACATAACACATATCACCATAACTATAATATTGCAATTATCAACGTTGGTCAGAAAAATTACAACATCATAGCACATAATTAATGTTCCTAAAATTAAATTCTCCCGTTGGTTCGAAATTTAATTTTAGAAACACTAATTTTCATCAATTTCATCTATTTGCAGCAGAAAACTATATAAAAATCATATGAACAGTAGCAAAATCTCTGTAATTCTCTCTGTGAAAATTCTCCCGTTGGTTCAAATTTAAACAGAGGTAAAACATGCAAAAATCTATTCAAAGTTCTATTGAAATTTGCATGAAAAATTGACAAAATAAAATGGAAAAATTGCTACTGTTATCTTTTATTCATTTTCGGCCCCCGAGGGACCTCATATGGACTTTTTCCGGTCGGCCCGCGGCCTTTTTGGCTCGCGCGGGTGCTCCCCCCTCCCCCCAGGCCGCAACCTGGGCCTGGGCCGGGAAAGTTGCCGCGCGCGCTCTCCCTCTTGGGCCGTTTTTGGCCCGACCGCCGCCAGCCGTCCGATCTGCTAGGGCTTCGATCGGACGGCCGGGAGGGGAGATCGGGAGATCAAAACCCGACCCCCCAGCCGCCGGAAACCCTAGCTCCTCTTCTCTCGCGGGCGCGCGGCCGCGCCGAGCGGCGTCGCCGACGCCGGCGGCCCTCGCGCCGCCGCGCCATGACCGGCGCGCCTTTCTTTTCTCTTCTTCTCCGCTCCCCCCACCGTCTCTAACCCCCACCGTGTGAGAGAGAGATGGCGGCGGCCGAAAAGACGGAGATGGCGGCGCCGCCGCGGGCTCCCTCGCCGGTGCGCGCGTGCACCGGCAGGTGCGCGCACGGCCGTCGAGTGGCTCCTCGGTGGTGCCCTTTGCCCTCCCCCCTTTTGCCGGCGACGGCCGGCGACAAGGTAGGGTTAGGGTTTCGATCTTTTGATCCGTGCGGATCTTGTGCTTTTCTTTCTTTGGATTTCTTTTCCCGAACCGATCTAATCACTAGGGTTGCTCTGATACCATTGTTAGACTTTGCTCTAGGATCACCTAGGTTAGATCTAGTCGGGTGGTTCTATTTGGGATTGATGTTTGAACTATAGAGATTGAAAACGGGAGAGGGTTTAGATAGACCGACCGGTTGAGGTGTTGGAGGATGAAGAAGTGCCGGCCATCGTCGTCGTTGGCGCTCGGTTGTCGTGGATGCGGCGCCGGTGAGGTCGACGGCGATGACGGCTGCGGGAGTGACGGTCGTAGATGTCCCGGCGATGAGGTGTGGCGCGGCGGTGGCGCTTCCCGTCACTGGCTGCGCCCCCTCTCGATCGGATTAGGGTTTGTAGGGTGGAGTTGGCGGCGGCGGTGAATCTCGTACTCTGTGCCGTGCCGACCTCCACCCCTCTTTTATATGGCGCAGTGTGACGGGGGCTCACCAGCCATTGGGCTGGACGCCCCCGATCAGAGCGTGGTCAAGGTCCGTTGTGCCGTTGGGCCCGACGGGTGGGAGATCTATCTAACAGTAAATAGCTAGTACTAGTAATCATATCCATCAAACGTTATAGCATGAGCGTCATGGATGATGCATTGTAATGTTTCGTGCCTTTTCCCTCGCTGCATATTTATACCGCTACTCAAGGCGATCTCGACACCAAACAAGCACAATTAATCTGAATAATTGAAGTTCAGAGCAGCAGATTAATACTCCTAATTAGTCCTACCGAAATGGCCGCAGAAGGTGAGCTGAAGCTGCTGGGAACATGGGCGAGCCCCTACGTCTCCAGAGTGAAGCTCGCCCTCCACCTCAAGGGCCTGAGCTACGAGTACGTCGTCGAGGAGGATCACTTCAACAACAAGAGCGAGCTCCTCCTCAGCTCCAACCCGGTGCACAAGAAGGTCCCCGTGATGATCCACAACGGCAAGCCCATCTGCGAGTCGCTGATCATCATGGAGTACCTCGACGAGGCTTTCCCCGACACCGCCGCACCTCTCCTCCCCGCCGACCTGCACGACCGCGCCGTCGCTCGCTTCTGGGCCGCCTACATTGACGACAAGGTTATCACTTTGATCGGTCTGCGTGTTAATTAAACTGATCAGAAGTTGATGTATATATACGAATGCTTCTGCAGCTAGTGCCCTCGTGGAAGCAGGCGTTCAGCGGAAAGACGGGTGAGGAGAAGGCAGAGGGGATGCGTCATATGCTCGCGGCGGTGGATGCGCTGGAGGCGGCGATGGAGTGGTCCTACAAGGGGAAGCCCTTCTTCGGCGGCGACGCCGTCGGGTTCCTGGACGTCGCGCTGGGGGGCTTGCTCTCCTGGTTGCACGGGACAGAGGAGCTGTGTGGCGCCAAGATCTTGGACGCCGCCAAGACCCCGCTCCTGTCGGCGTGGGCGCGGCGCTTCGGCGAGATGGACGCCGCCAAGGTGGCTTTGCCGGACGTCTGCAAGCTGGTCGAGTTTGCCAAGATGAAGCGTGTTCAGCTGGAGGCTGCAATGGCAGCTACAACAGTTTCCCGCAACTGAATGTGTTGTCAGGTTGTTGTGTTGATGTGTTCCTACAAGTGAATAAACCGTACTTTAAAATTTAAATAACTAAATATTTGACTAATAATATTTTATTATAAATTAAGTTGTGTTTGATAAAAAATAATATCATTGAATTGGATTGAAATTTGAATTTACTTTCACAAATTTGTGAACATTATATATTTGAGAAATTCAAAATATATTTAACCGTGTCAAGTTTAATCGCGCCTTAAACAATGTAATAGATTAGTGTGATAGAGGGGAGTAATACGGGCTTGTTCACTTTGATGCCATTTTTAACCATACCATTTTTTTTTTGCAAAGTTGTCCAAAAAAAGTATGCGTTTATTTTTTTTGCCAAATTTAGTTAATACATAAGAAAACTGGCAAAATTTTAACAATATTGTTATTTTGTCAAAATTTTGGCATTGCTAAAACTTGGTAAAGTTTATTTTGGCTACAATCTGAACAGGCTCTACGTATGGAGTAGCTCAGGGGTCATGGCTAGTTTGGATTGCTATCTTACCAAAATTTTGGTAGGATGACAAACCAAAAATGTCTATTAAAACACTATATTTGTCGCAAATTTGGCTTTGCCCATGAACTTGTTTCTTATGGGTATATTTTGGCTTCAATCCAAATGAAGATTATTAACTTTATCCTATCAAAGTTGGTAGTACCAAAACTTATCTACGATTTGGTACTATTAAAATTTTGTTAAGATATCAATCCAAACATGCACCAATAATCTCTATGGGAACATCTAATAATTTCACCAATCTAATCTCTTCTTTCTATAAAGCTAATACCCACTACACTCCTAAAGCTCAACATGCAAGCATAGTATTTATTAGCACTACTAAGATCTACATGCAATCATGCCACATCAACCAATTAAGCTTATAAAACTCAACATGCAAACACATAGTAATTATATCTACAATTCATTTTATTCTAATACTTAACATACACATGTTAAATCATCATCTCAAATCGTTTTTATAATATTTCAATCTAAATCATTCATCATTTCTCCATTATCTAACATATATACCGCAGCAAAGCGCGGGACTAGTGGATTGCTAAAGTCTGTATGCTGTGGCTTGTTAGAGAGAGAGAGAGAGGATCTAATAGTCCGTCCGCGTTGGGTTGGGCCAAAAGTATTTGGTCACATAAGATTGGGCCTAAATTGCACAAAGTGTCGTCTCATCTGTGCTCTGTTTCGGCCTAGATCGCACACCGCCAATTCGTCATGTTTGACGTACAACAGCAAGACACCCAGTTGTTGACTTCTAATCAGTACTCTGCTTCCCCAATCCCAACCTGCGTGCGAGATTGGGAGAAATTGCCGCTCCGTTTTGTGTCGTTTTGTGTATTTTCTCCACTCAAAAGAACAGAAACTATTGTGCTACTATCATACTACAGATACACGCGGTCAACCTGTAAGATTGTTTCTTTGAAAACGAAGTTGCACAAATCGTTGTGTGTAATGCAGACACCCGTCAACCTACAAAATTCAAACAATGGTTTCTTTTTTCTTTTTTTTTACTGGTGAGAGCAATAGATTAGCCTTCGGATCAATGACTCGGTGTACTTTCAAAGAAAAAATTTGCAGAAAAAAAAATCGACATTATATTGTCAAAGATCTACAAGCTTTCTTACTAGCTTGATTCACATGCCCACTGACAATATTTTATCATTATAGCAGAAGAAGGGTTCTATAGCTTGAGCAGCAAGTACTACAACAGAGTAATTTTTAAATGGCTAGTTTCTTAATCTACTCCATGCTGACTGGCTCCTAGGTTCAACGTCACAATCTCTTGCAAATAGGTGTGGAAAATTATATCCATCAAACCATAGCATGAGCATATCCTTCCCGAACTGCAATGTTTATATAGATACTGCAGCAAGCACAATTAAGCATTTAAGCTGAAGAAGTAGTTCAGACTTGTACACTATTAGTGAAACACGCATCAGTATAGGAAATGGCTGCAGAAGATGAGCTGAAGCTCCTGGGATTTTGGGCGAGCCCCTACGTTTGCAGAGTGAAGCTCGCACTCCACCTCAAAGGCCTGATCTACGACTATGTCAAGGAGGATGTCTTCACCAACAAGAGCGAGCTCCTCCTCAGCTGCAACCCGGTGCACGCGAAGGTCCCCGTGCTCATCCACAACGGCAAGCCCATCTGCGAGTCGCAGGTCATCGTACAATACATCGACGAGGTCTTCCCCGACGCCGGCGTCACCCTCCTCCCCGCCGACCCCCACGATCGCGCCGCCGCTCGCTTCTGGGCCGCCTACATCGACGACAAGGTTTGCATGATCGATCACTCATTGGCTTGATCAGTGAAGTTAACTTTAGCATTTTGATCTGCCGATGTGCTGAACTAATCAAAGATTGACGTGTACGTGTGCCGTGTGCGTGTGCAGCTACTGCCCCCGTGGGTGCACGCGTACAGGGGAAAGACGGACGAGGAGAAGGCCGAGAGGATGAAGCAGACGCTTGCGGTGGTCGACGCGCTGGAGACGGCGATGGAGGAGTGCTCCAAGGGGAACGCCTTCTTCGGCGGCGACACCGTCGGGTACGTCGACGTCGCGCTGGGGGGCTTGCTCTCCTGGTTGCACGGGACCGAGGAGCTGTGTGGCGCCAAGATCTTGGACGCCGCCAAGACCCCGCTCCTGTCGGCGTGGGCGCGGCGCTTCGGCGAGCTGGATGCAGCCAACGCGGCGCTGCCGGACGTCGGCAGGTTGGTCGAGTTTTGCAAGATGAGGCATGTCGAGCTGGAGGCTGCAGAGGCAGCAGCTGCGCGCAACTGATCAATATTGGGGAAGCTATTTTGATGCTTCGAGGGGATGTCCACTCGTTGTTTGCATGTCACTTAAATGGTTATAAAAAAAATTATAAAAAATATATTAACATGTGATATATCACTTCATAAACATACAAGTTTAAATTCAACTTCTATATCTTACAACGAAAAAAAATAAATTTGACTGAGAATATACGTTAACTAGCTGATGTAGAAGTTGAATTTGAACTTACATGTTTATGAAGTGATATATCATATATAAATACATCTTCTCAAATTTTTCATAATCATTTGAGTGACATGAAAACTATATAGGGATATTCCCTTGAGAGATCAAAATCCACTCCCACAATATTATCACTCTTTCCGTTGGTGTTGAGCTGTTGGAGACTTGGAGAGTTGGAGCGCGTGCTTTGCACCTCCATCTGTCCATTTCTTTCATTATACACAGTAGTAATACGAAGTATCTAAATATGGGTAATTTTAGCATTTTTAAAAAGATATATGTAAATACATCTTCTCAAATTTTTCATAATCATTTGAGTGACATGAAAACTATATAGGGATATTCCCTTGAGAGATCAAAATCCACTCCCACAATATTATCACTCTTCCCGTTGGTGTTGGGCTGTTGGAAACTTGGAGAGTTGGAGCGCGTGCTTTGCACCTCCATCTGTCCATTTCTTTCATTATACACAGTAGTAATACGAAGTATCTAATTATGGGTAATTTTAGCATTTTTAAAAAGATATCGGGTGTACTATATTTTCTATTTTCTAGTATAAAACTTATTACCTTCATAAACTAGAATTAGATTGAATAAAAATAATATGTTTGGATTGTATTGACATTTGAATTTACTTTATATAATTGTAACTTTTTACAACAAACATCGTAGTATTTGAAAAATTCAAAGTATATTTAACTATGTCAAGTTTGATCGCGTCTTAATCAGTATGACAGAGAAAGTAATATATATGGAGTAGCTCAATAATCTCTATGGAAAAAAAATTTAATAATATCACCAATCTAATGGATGGCTGAAGTCTGTATATATGGCCATGTTTGGAGAACTAGTCAAGAGTTATTTTGAGAGCTATTTTTTAGCACAAGAAAATAGCCCTCTAATAAAATAGCCCTAAGTTGTTTGGATCCAATGGTTATTTTGAGAGCTATTTAGCATTTAATGCACTTTCCTATGGAGAGAGAGAAAATACACTTTTTAGTGGGCCCTACCCGAAATAGCCCCAATTAGCACCCCTTGAGGATAGGTTTTTTTATGGGTTATGGCCCTGTTTGGATCTAAGGGATATTTTTTAGCTCTCCCTCAAATAGCCCAAATAGCCTAAAAAAATCCAAAAGGGTAAGTTATTTGAGGGCTATTTGGAAATAGCCCACCCAAAAAAACTATCCCACCCAAGGGGTGCTAATTGGAGCTATTTTGGGTGGGGCCCAAAAAAAAGTGGCTTTTCTCTCTCCCACAGGCGCACGGGATCAGAAAACCCAAAGGAAAAAAGCTGCCCGCTCCTCCCTCTCTCTCCGCACAACCTTATCCGCGCGCGCAGGGGCCTCTCATTTCGCCGCCGCCGCCGCCTCCACTCCTCGCCGGCGAAGCGGCCGTCGCCTGCCGCGCCACCGGCCCCCACCAGCGCCGCTGCCTGCACTCCTCGCCGGCACGGCGGCCGTCACCCGCGGCGCTGCTGGCCCCCACTAGCGCCGCCGCCCCAACTCCTCGCAGGCACCGCCGTTATTCCTCCTCCCCACCAGCGCCGCCGTCCCCACTCCTCGCCGGAGCAGCGGCCGTCGCCCGCCGCGCCGCCAGCCCCCACCAACACCGCCGCCTCCACTCCTCGCCGGCGAAGTGGCCGTCGCCTGCCGCGCCGCCGGCCCCCACCAACGCCGCCGCCTCCACTCCTCGCCGGCGCGGCGGCCGTCACCCGCGGCGACGTCGGCCCCCACTAGCGCTGCCGTTATTCGTTCTCCCCACCCGAGCCGCCGCCGGCCGGCGAGGATTTCCATCATCTGCACAACTACGGCCGGCCACACCAAGACACATGCGCAAAAGATCCTGTGGAAAGAGAGAGAAAAGGGGTAGTTATGATTGGAAAAGTGCACTAAAGGCTAAATAGCCCTGGGATCCAAACAGCTCAAGGGCTCTTTCATTGGAGGGCTATTTCTTGTGTAAAAAATAGCTCTCCAAATAACTCTGGGCTACTTCTCCAAACAGGGCCTATTTCCAAATAGCCCTAACAGCTCACCTGTCAAGAACTTTTAGGCTATTTGGACTATTTGAGGGAGGGCTAAAAAAATAGCCCATCGATTCAAACTGGGCCTATGTTGTGGCTTGGAGGGAGGATCTAATAGTCCGTCCACGTTGGGTTGGGCCAAAAGTATTTGGTCACACAAGATTGGGCCTAAATTGGACAAAGTGCTGTCTCATCTGTGCTCTGTTTCGGCACACCGCCAATTCGTCATGCTTTGACTTACAACAGCAAAGACACCCAGTTGTTGACTTCTAAAGTTCTAATCAGAACTCTGCTTCCCAACCTGCGTGCGGGCTTGGGAGAAATCGCCGCTCCGCTGCCGCCTGCCGCACCCATTTTACCGCCGGATAACGTGTTTCCAGCGGTGAATGACTCACGGGATTCGAATACTATCTTATGGGTTGACAACCACCGCGCCGGTCGCCTGCGGTTTCCTCACTTTCGATGGACCGTGTGCACTGTTGCACATCACCAAGTATCCTTGTCGACGAACAGTGAATCAATGCCACTGATTCAGACTTTGATGCATCCATATCCAACCATATATACCTCTCTACATCCTCGTGATCAACAACACAAACTGCAAACAAATTAAATCGAGTAGTAGCTGATACTGCCGGACTTGGTCGGATCGGAGATGGCCGGAGGAGGAGATGAGCTGAAGCTTCTTGCGACATGGTTCAGCCCGTTCGCTTCCAGAGTGAAGTTCGTGTTCCATCTCAAGGGCCTGAGCTACGAGAACATCGAGGAGGACCTCAAGAACAAGAGCGAGCTCCTCCTCAAGAGCAACCCCGTGATCAAGAAGGTCCCCGTGCTCCTCCACAACGGCAAGCCGCTGTGCGAGTCCATGGTCATCGTCGAGTACCTCGATGAGACCTTCGCCGCCGTCGGCCCGTCCGTCGTCCCCGCCGACCCCTACGAACGCGCCGTCGCTCGCTTCTGGGTCTCCTACATCGACAACAAGGTGAAATACTCTCTTGTGTACAGTGCATCTCCCGTGTCAGAGCATATGAAATGGTCTAGCTGATGTCAAGCATGAAACGCATGGCTGTGCAGCTGGTGGCGCCATGGTTCCAGGTGTTCAGGGGAAAGACGAAGGAGGAGAAGGCGGAGGGGCTGAAGCAGATGTTCGAGGCAACGGCGGTCATGGAGGTGGCATTCAGGGAGTGCTCCAAGGGGAGGCCCTTCTTCGGCGGCGACGCCGTCGGGATCGTCGACGTCGCGCTCGGCAGCCAGCTTGGGTGGCTGCGCGCGTCGGAGACGCTGTCCGGGATCAAGCTGTTCGACCCGGCCAAGACGCCGCTCCTGCTGGCGTGGGCGGAGCGCTTCCTCGCGCTGGACGCGGCGAAGGCGTCCATGCCGGAGTCCGGTAGGCTGCTCGCGTATGCCAAGATGAGGCAGGCCGAGACCGATGCCGCCAATGCAAGCAAGTGATCACCTGCGAGCTGCGACGTCGCTCTACTGCGAGGAACGAACCCCTGCACATGTTTTTTTGGGGGGAATCGAGTTAAAATAATATGGCACGTGCACGGTGGTGGCACGACTGTTGCACGACTGGAAATTGTGTTTTCCTATGACCAATAAAATAAAATATTCTGCACACAAAATAAAAAGGCGACAGACCTTAAAAAATGAACATGCCAAAAGGTTGACACTTAAACAAATCTCTCTATCTGCCTGCCTATCAATTCCTGTGTGTCACAGTATATTATAAGAGCATGTTTACCGTCCAGCAAGTTTTACCCCCCAGTATAGGTACCCGTTGTTACCAAAACTAATCCGACCGTTGAATCCGGGATGGGTAGGATCGGGAGAGAAAATGAGCAGGGGTGCGCTCAATCCCGGCGCCAACGGCGTGTGAGTAGGAGCGGCGGAGTTGAAGTCATCGTTCCCAGTGTCGACGGGCGGAGAAGGAGGATTCCTTCCTGGTGCCGACGGAAGGAGAAAGAGGATTCTTTCCCAGCGCCAAGGGGCCTAGGAGGATAAGTCCTTCCCGGCGGCAAGGGGCGGACGAGGAGGAGTTCTTTTGCGGCACAATGCGGACGAGATCGACGCACTCCAGGCGGCGATGGCGTTGGTGGGAACATCACCCTATCCGCCCATCTATTCCTCCCATCCATCTATTGCACGTGAAATTATATTTTTGCCCTTCCACCTCTATTCTCCAAGAGGCACCGTATCAGGGACAGAATTGGTACCTCACGGTACCAAACTCTACCAGATCCAATGGCCGGGATTTGATACCGTAAGGTACCATTGGATGGAAAAAAAACTCATATTATAAAGAACTATTTTGCTAAAAAAAATATATAGTGCCATATTTTGTACTTGATTTCAGTTTTTTCTTAAAAAAATTGATATGTTCCATGTTTTTTTTTTACTAAATCACGGGGGGGGGGGGGGGAGAGATTCCTGAATTTATCATTGCAATTAGAGGTAAGAAGCTCATTACAAAAGATTGATAGATTGTAAGGGGGAGGAGAAGATCTGTTTCCAAACAGAGATTACAAATCGATCATCTTCCGTTAAGTTCTCTGCCCAGAGAGCTGCCTCGGTGATGCATCGGATATGTTCCATGTTATATTTAAGTGTGTGCTTTTTATCCAGTGTGGCCATCTCGCTCGGCCAACAAGCGACACCGAGGCCGGTCTCGCATTTTCGCCTTACGAGTTTGCCCGTGTCATCACGCTTCCATCAGTATCACGCGTTCGTCCTACGATTTCGTCATGATTTCGCACTACCCAACCGGGACAACGGTTTATTTGTGTAAATCCGTTCTCATCTCGTATATTTCTGAGGAAATAAAACTTCAACGGTATAATTTTAAATTTATTTTTCTTATATTTTGTGGCGCTCGTGAGGACTATGGAGTGATGGTTCTGAATTTTCTATAGAGATTGGTCAACCGATCAGGAGTATTACCGAAAACATATTCATCGAGGAAAGACGTGCCGGGTGGTTATGGCCTGATTAGGTGAACTTGTTACAGCTTAAGCACATGTTCTGGCCATATTCAATTAAATAATTAAAAGGATTGTAGCAAATCCGGAAGATTACATATACTAGGAAATGAATCGAGTTGCCAGCTATACATATCCTCTCCAAATCAATTGGATCAGAGACGAATTATATCTTTCCCGGTCTCCTTATCGAACAAGTTCAGTGTCAATATCTCAGGCTTTACGCACCCAACTCCAACTATATATACATCTCCAAACCATTCGTTGTGATCATCAAGAACACAAACTAGAAACACGAGCAGAAGTAGTAAGAGGTTCAAATCTCTAGCCACCCCCACAGCCGAGTTCCTGAAACTGATCGACAGAAATGGCCGGAGGAGGAGATGAGCTGAAGCTTTTGGGCACATGGTTCAGCCCGTTCGTTTCCAGAGTGAAGTTCGTGTTCCACCTCAAGGGCCTGAGCTACGAGAACATCGAGGAGGACCTCAAGAACAAGAGCGAGCTCCTCCTCAAGAGCAACCCGGCGATCAAGAAGGTACCCGTGCTCTTCCACAACGGCAAGCCACTCTGCGAGTCCATGATCATCGTCGAGTACATCGACGAGACCTTCGCCGGCGTCGGCCCGTCCGTCGTCCCCACCGATGCCTATGAACGCGCCGTCGCTCGCTTCTGGGTCTCCTACATCGACAACAAGGTGAGATACTCTTCTACAGCGTCTGGAGCTTGAGCTTGCATGAAATGATTGGATCGGAGCTGATGTCAAGCATGCTTGGTTATTGGTTGCGAATGCAGCTAGTGGCGCCATGGTTCCAGGTGTTCAGGAGCAAGTCGATGGAGGAGAAGGCGGAGGGGCTGAAGCAGATCTTCGTGGCGGTGATGGTGCTGGAGGAGGCGTTCAAGGAGTGCTCCAAGGGGAGGCCATTCTTCGGCGGCGACAACGCCGGGATCGTGGACATCGCGCTCGGCAGCCAGCTCGGGTGGGTGCGCGCATCCCAGGCGCTGTCCGGCATCAAGCTGTTCGATCCCGCCAAGACGCCGCTTCTGGCGGCCTGGGCGGAGCGCTTCCTCGCGCTGGACGCGGCGAAGGCGTCCATGCCGGAGTTCGGCAGGCTGATCGAGTATGCCAAGATGAGGCAGGCCGAGTCTGACGCCGCGAACGCAGCAGCCAACTGATCACCACTCACCAACCAACTGCGATGAGCTGAGCAGACTCGCCCCTGCAAGTGTCGATTTGGGGAAAGCGAGTTAATAATTTGTGTCCTGTTTGTGTCAAGTGTCAACTGCTTCATTGTTGCTCTGCACCTCTGCCTACGTTGCGCAACTTGTTCCATGCCAGTGTTTTGTTCAGTCAGTCTGTCGTTGTTCCATGTCGTGTTTGTTTATGACCAATAAATATATTTGTATCCTTTTATTTTAAAAAACGCACAGACATTATATATCCTTGTAAAACAATACATGCCAAAAAATATGAAATTTGAACAAAGTTTTATTTTCTTGGTCAGCGGCGAAGAAGTGCCCTGACCAAATTTAGTAAGATTGAGAGAAGGAAAAACATTTTGAGTAGAGTATATAGGTGGTCCTTAAACTTGTAAGGTTGTGTCAATTAGGTACTTAAACTCTCAAAATACAGATACAGGTCGCAGAACTTGTCAAAGTATATCATGAAAGTCACAGATCGATACAGCCCCTCTAGAATCGTACGTGGCGTTGATGTGGCATGCCACATGGACGTGACGTGTCATTTTCTCTTTTTTTTTCTTCTTTTCTTTTTATTTTTCGTTTTGTTTTCTTCTATTATTCTTTTATTTTTTTTCCTTTCTTCTGCTCGGGTCACAGAGAAACGAGAAGAAAGGAAAAAAAACAGAGAAGAAAAGAAAAAAAGAAAAAAATAAATAGGTCCTATTTGTCAGTCAAAATGATGCCACTATTTGTCCGTGTGGTATGCCACATCAGCGCCACGTAGGATTCTGAAGGGGTTGTGGTGATTTGAGACCTAGATGACACAGTATGACAAGTTTTGTGACTTAGATATGCATTTTGAGAGTTTAGGGACCTATATGATACACTCCTACAAGTTTAAGAACCGCCTGTGCACTTGTAACGCTCCGCTTCTCGTGGGACGTTAAAAACTAATTCGGCAAAATCCTATATGCGAAAATTTCGTTTTTTGTGTGCGAGTCTAAGTCATGCTGTAGATCTCAATTTAAATCTCCTTGATCCTCCTCCTCCTCGAAATCCCTATTCCAAATCAAGTCTCCGAGATCGAACTTCGAAATTCAATCGCATCCTTTGAATCCTCGCCAAACACTCACTCCCAATCCCCAAAAATATCAAACACTACCTTGAGTCTTCCTTGATTCCTACCTGAACCCTCGAGTTTGAATATCGAATTTGAATCCAAATCCAAACTTCAATTCTCTCCAAATCAGCCCTCTCTGTGAAAATCTAAATCGCCTCCCTCAAGTTTTGTGGGTCGATTTTGTCCCCCTTGGCCCATCTCCCCTCTGCCTATCTCCTCCCTCCTCCTCACAAGTGCAATGCATGTGCGCCGCCCGAGAGAACGTCGTCTCTCTTCCTCTCTCTCTCTCTCTCTCGCTCGATTTCTCTCTCTCGCCGGTCAACCACCGCCGCTTTGCCGATTCCCGCCGCCGCGGTTTGAACCCTCCCGCCGCCGCCATTCGATTTTCGCCGCCGCCCGTCGGTTTCCCGCGCACGCGCGCTCACGCGTGGCCAGTCGCCTGGTCGCTGCCCGTGCCCGCGCTGCCGCCTGGTCCCACTACTCCACGCCGCGTGCTTCCAAAACCGAGACAGAGCGCCTCTCTCACGCGCTCTCCCCTCCTTCCTCTGCTCGCCCAAATCGGCAAGGAGCAGAGCTCCCCTTTTTCCCTCCCTTTTCTGCTTTTTCCCCTGACCACCACCGCCATGCCCTATCGCCGCCTGGTCACTTGCGCCCGTGACCGCCAGCTCGCGGTCCTTGCACCCTTGACCGCCCTGTGTCAGTTCCCCCTCCCAAACCGCCTCTTCTCCATCTATAAAGCCCAGGCCGAGCCTCCCCATCTCATTCTCTCTTGGCATCTCTCTTCCACCGCCGCCGCGCCATTGTTGCCGCCTCGCAGCTGCCGACCTCACATCCCTTCGCCATCGCGCGTGCTGGTGAAGCCTGCTTGCGCGCGAGGAGCCGAAGAGGACTCCAGGCACCCTCCTTCTTCCCCTTCCCCGGTCCGAGGCCGGAGAGCCCGCTCGCGCCGTCGGCCATCTCCCAGCGCCCGTCCTGACGCGGTAGCCTTCCGTTCCCCTTCCTCGCTCTCTCTCGCCACCTCCAGCTCGCGTGGTAGCTCGGCTAGCCTCTCGAACACGCGTAGACGAAGCCCCAAGCCCCGCCGCTGCCACCCGGCATGGCCTCGCCGCCATTGCCGCCCGCTCCAGGAGGCCGCCGCTGTCGCTAGCCCTCCTCGGTGCTCCTTCGCCCCATCCGGCGCCGGAAACGGATTCCCCGACCCCCATAGATACTCCCACCGCTTTGAATCGAGCTCTCGTCGCCCCGTCGAGTTTCCCCTCTTATCTTGCCGCCGGCCGCCGCCGCCGCAATCCGCCGATTCCGGCCATCCCCCGGCGAATCAGAGCCTATGGCTCGCTTTCTCTTGTCCCTCCCGCCACTTCGGTGTACTCCCCCTCCCTTGAACCCTCGCGAATCGCTCCGACGAACGCCGTCGCCGTCCGCCGTCGGATGCCGGCGCCCCCTTCTTCCTCCTCCCGCCGGCCCGCGTGGCTGCCACGTAGGCGCCACGTCGGAGCCACATCGGCCGCGACCGGGTCAGCACGACCAGCCTGCCGCCTCCCCCTCCCTCGACTGGTGTGCGCGGTCCACGGAGAGCCCTATGGCTGCGCGTGGGCCCGCCGCCTCTCGGTCCATCCGGCGCACCGCCCGTGCGCCATCTTCACCAAACCCTAGCGCCGCCCCCGCGTGAACCCATTCCTCCATGAACCCAGCCGCCGACAGGTGGGCCCGTCCCGGGACCCCGCATGGTGGACCGCGGTCCACCCGGTCGGTCTCCTCCCCCTCCCACGCCCCATTGGGCTGCCCTCCTCGCGGCCGTGCCGGCCCATTAGGCTCGCCCGAGCTGCGCAAGTCCCTCGGGCCGCGCCAATGCCACCCGAGACAAGTCTGATTCACATCCCTCGTCCATTTCCTTTTCCAAAGGATTTAATAAATCTTTTTCCTTTAGACAGAAAATCCAAATAATCTTAGGAAATCCATATCTCCTCAACCGCTCGTCCGATTGACCCCGTTCCACTTCCAGTAATTCCGTAAAATTGAGATCTATCTAATGGCACTATAATTTAGTCTAAATAGGATCTTTTATTAGTCTTTTGTTTAGGTTCTGATTGTTTGCGTATAGTTGCGGTTACCGGATTTTCGTCAATCGTGATTTTCTCGAAGATTCGTGAAGCTTCGTGAAGACCTTGAGCAAGGCAAGTCACTCTTTGATCAATTGCTCCTATAATTGGAAAATCATTATTATTTTGTTTGCAACTCGCATTATTAGAATCACACACTTAACTTGCTTGGCCTCGGTTTGTGTGCCAAACCGACGGACCTACCAGTAGTCGCACTAATTCCTGTAGGTTGTACTACCCTGATTCCTTGTCGCTCCACCCTTGTGGTACCTCGGTATCCGTGCTCTCTGAGCGCGTATACCAAATATCCCACATACACCGTTGATTGTCGAAAACTTGGGAAATGGGTTTGAGAAGCCTTGAAAACCCGACATGTGGTGTCGGTGTGTTTGAAAATAAAATGAACTGTGAAAACTCGCGATGCGGGTGTTGTGCCTATGTGGCGTCGTCCCGTATTCGCATATAAGGACCGATTCCTGTGGGAAATTCATCAAGCATAACAAGTGCAACCACATGGTGGTATGGGACACCCTGGCTAAGTAATTAGTTGCTTTTGGGAAATCTTGTATGCCAATAGAGGCGGAAAGCCGGGATGTGGGGGTAGAGGCATCCTGGGAGTCCGAAACAGAGGAAGGCACCCGGGAGTCCTAAGGGAAAACCGGAGTTGGCCCGATGTTGGTCAGGGAGACCCTCTATGTGGCATGAGGTGACCCAGGATTGGCTTTGGAAAGGCCTTGTCACGAACCTCCGACACCGGCCAGTGTCTTGAGTAAGTTTGTGTCTTGTGGGTAAAGTGTACCCCTCTGCAGAGGTTAACTAACTGTTCGAATAGCCGTGCCCACGGTCAAGGGCGGATGTGAGGTGTTTCCCGTTGCGTAGATTTGTTTGCCAGTGCTTTGTGAAAAGTTGTTGTGGTGTGGGAATCGTAACCAGAATCAGCCTATGTGGCAGATGGATGACCTGAGTGGTCAGAAACGAATCTGTGTGATTCGGGATGTCTACGGGCATCATAGACTATGCTTCCTGAGTGGAAGCGGATTGCTTTGCTGCTGGGCAGCTGGACTCTGGGAGTCCGCAAAAATGAAAAAGGCTCTGGGAGCCGCCTAATCAAGTGAAATGGCTCTGGGAGCCGATAAGTAATGATCTGACCCGGGAGGTCGGTACATTACCATTTGAGTTGTTGAAAATCATCTCTTAAGTCGAATCGAGACGCAAGTTTCCTTTCGACCCAAACTTAAAAAGAAATAAATCACGTAGTGATTTCAAAAATAATTTCAAACAAAGGATTTGCAAAACAACCTTGCCTCTCTTCCAAGCTTGCATTAAACACCTAAGTTCCCGTGACTTGCTGAGTACGAAAGTACTCACCCTTGCTCTATATAAATATATATAGTTCCTCCGTCGTGAAGTGAAGATGAAGTGAAGTGAAGATTAGGGTTTCGTCCTGGTTCTCAGCCGTCGCCTGTGGTGTTGGGTGTTAGACCATTGGTTCCGCTGCTGCTGTTGTTGCTGGTGTTTCCTCGTCTGTGTCTTCGGTTGTATTCTCAGGCTGTCCTGAGCTGCAACCTAAGTTAAGGTAAATAAGTCCTCTATTTATTTTAAGGATTTGCAATGATTCATATTTGTCACCGTGGGTACCAGCACTATGTCCTGGGACTAGTACTGAGATCGCGGTTTCGTAGAAAGCGGTTCGCGCCGTTATTCCTACGACACGCTCCTGTCAGGTGCCGTTGTACGGCGGTGCCGGATTGGGGTGTGACAGCACTTTACTCAAACATTTTCAGCAAACATAACTGTTAAGATTACAACACTTCCTATGGACGAACTGATGCTAATTTTGTTATACAAATAAGTGCCAAAAGAACATCCTAGCGGTCAATGGCGATGCTAATTAGGAATAATTGTTGACATAGAAGAAAGAGAAATAGGAGAGACAAAACATCGTTGTTATACATAACAACGGCTTAACGACGACTCTTAATTACTGTAATATGGAAATATGGTTGTATGGGTGTAAAAAAATGGAAAGAATATTAATAAAAGGAATATTTTTTTGAGTTAATGATTAGAGCCTTTGTCGTCACAACTATTGTAAAGACACGGTCTCTAAATAATCTTATATTGTTTAAGAGAATATACTCGTCTCTACCATTTAACGGAGGAACCAGAATTTCAGCTATTTCAGAAATTTCCTTCCAAAAGGGAATGTACAGTACTTCGTTTCACAATATAAATCATTCTAGCATTTCCCACATTCATATTGATGTTAATGAATCTAAACATATATCATTAACATCAATATGAATATATGTTTAGATTCATTAACATCAATATGAATGTGGGAAATGCTAGAATGACTTACATTGTGAAACGGAGGGAGCAGTATAGACTGATATGTCTGGAATGGAACTAGAGATAGATCATTGGTTCGAACGGACAGCAAACCTTCTGCCAACTTCCCGGAACATAGTAATAATCATCGCCGTGCCTTGGTCTAAACGACACGAAACTCTGTCATTATTCTCTGGAAAAGCTTGCATGTAAACGCCATCAGATCAATCTCCCTCCGTCGCCAACATCACCTTGTTTGTAAATTGTAGGAGCAAAATGGCAGGGCGAAACAACCACGAGCTCAAGCTGCTGGGCACATGGCCGAGCCCGTTCGTCGTCAGGGTGAGGCTCGCGCTCGGCCTCAAGGGCCTGAGCTACGAGTACGTCGAGCAGGACATCAGGGACAAGAGCGAGCTCCTCGTCGTCTCCAACCCGGTGCACAAGAAGGTGCCCGTGCTCATCCACGGCGGCAAGCCCGTCTGCGAGTCGCAGATCATCGTGCAGTACATCGACGAGGCGTTCCCCGGCGCCGGCGCCTCCCTCCTCCCCTCCGATCCCCACGAACGCGCTGTCGCCCGCTTCTGGGCCACCTACATCGATGACGAGGTAGATCTCTCTACTTGTTCTACAACTTCCAATGGAAGTTCACATGCAGCTCCTAATCATGGACATGTGTGCGTTACAGTTTGCTACGAAGTTCCGAGCAATGGGAGAAGCGAAGGAGGAGGAGGAGAAGGACGAGGCGGCGGCGCAGGTGTTCGCCGCGCTGGAGACCTTGGAGGAAGCCATGAAGGGGAAGGTCTTCTTCGGCGGCGACAGCGCGGGGTACGTGGACGTGGCGCTCGGTGGGTTCCTGGGGTGGATCAAGGCGGCGGAGGCGTTGGCCGGCGTCGCGTTCCTCGACGGGGCCCGGACGCCGCTCCTGGCCGCTTGGGCGGCGCGGTTCTCCGCGCTGGAGGCCGCCAAGGAGGCGATACCCAGCGTCGAGCGGCTGCGCGAGTTTCACGGGGCGATGCACGCCGCCGCCGCCACGGTCGCCGGAAATTGACGGGTCGGAATCTGTGAACTGGGCCTTCACCCCTTGTATAGCATGGCCCAGGCCCAGTAGGAGCGAAATAAACGGGACGTATTAGGCCTGAGAAGTACTTGCCACAAAAATACGCTGGAAACAACTAAAATGCTTCCTATCGGTAGCATAACGGAAGATAAAAAAAATGGAACGCAGCTAAGCTACTTCCTGCTATACTGTTATATTATTACTTTACTTCTCACCATTCCATCCATACACACATAAATAAATATAATAAATATGAACATCTTAAAAAAAAGCGTCTAAACTATAATTTTTAATTCGATCATACAGTTATATTTGTTATAATTAATTCTTTATAAAAGATATCTTATGATTATATTCTGATAAAAGAATAGTATGTTCAACTCATCAATGTTTATATGTAGCGATATGTTTCAGTGTGTTTTTTATTGTGTTTTTCAAAAAAAATCAAATAAATGACTCAATGGCTAGCAAACATACATGTCCATTCTCTTTCTCATGTCATATAATTGCTCTCTCCTCACTTCATCCATATATTCATCCATATATGTATGCATGTAGTAATCTTCAAAACAATTTTTCATCTAAACTATTTATCAATCTATATTTATAATAAGATATCGTGTGATTATATTCTAGTGAAAAAAACATATATTTCAAATTATTGGAACATATTGTTCCGTATATGATAACGACATGTTTTAACGTATGTTTTCCAGTGTTCGCTAATCCTATCTTTTTATATAGTTGATACCCACTAAGGGACATTTACTCCTAAAAAGCAAGACATGCAAGAAGCCACATCATCAACAATTTTAAGCCATTAGATCAGATTAGTATAAAGATAATAACCGTTGGATCAAGAAACTACTTATTCATCCAATTCAATCATTTATTAGTTATCAATTCACCTTCCTTTGCTCCACCTCACAGTTACACATAGCACTGTTACATATTATGTATATAACACCATGTTTTCCGAATACAGCTCAAATTATTGTTTAATATATGTGTTTTGTTTTATTATGCATGATAAGATAGCATATAATTATTACATACCGTTATCTGAATCTATTTTCAGAAAAAACTTGAGTGAAGTAGAGAAATGAAAATTGTCTAACCCTAACGATACCCATATTGCGCATGAAAATAATATTCATATATTATAACAATACACAACGACGCTTGGAAAAATAAAATTGTATTGTAATAACATAAGACATATATAAATCCACATTATCATATATTTTGTATATATACGTAGAGTTGCATATAACCATTTAAAACTATGATTTTATTTGATGATAAAACTACAAAACCCGCGGTAAAGACGTGGGGTGACAATTAATTTTTTAAAATGATTCACCACGTACTATTTAATATTTCACTCCGTAGTAAACTAAAATATTTAACCATTAATGTATTTTGAAAAAATCGGACGCTCAAGTAGTGGATCGGTGGAAACAACGTCACGAACCACGCGGTGCAGGGCCCGACGAAGGCGGCCTGCCTTGATAGCTGTTGTTGATCAGTCGCTACAACGCTGAATGGACGGCGTACGTAGATTAGTCTTACGACCATCGACGCCCGGCATCTTGGGCGTTGTCACCCGTTGACATCGTGGGGTCTCTCTGTTGTGGACGGGATCTACTCTTATTCTGCACGCTAAACTGGGTAGTTGTTTCTCATGTGCAATACAGTGCCATGTGGCCTCTCTTTTCCCCACGCATAAATGTGTGTTTGAGAGAGAGAGAGAGAGAGAGAGAGAGAGAGTAGAGCAGCAGTACAATGGCAATAGCACTAGCACTGTATGTCTGTATAGCTGCTTATGATCGATGAACCAGAGAACATAACACGCATACATGTCCAGACTTTACACATTAATAACCCCACAAATAAACTAACCATGACTTGAAAATGGCACTGTAATAACACGATTTTTTCTTTATTACAAGAAACCCAATGATCCAATCGAAAACGATTTTCCACTCACTTGGCAGCGGTGGAAGCAGCAGCAGCTGCTACACGAGCCTGGACTTTCCTGGCGAACTCCACGGCGTCGTCCGCGTCCGGCACCACCCCCTTGGCCGCCTCGACCTCCACGAACCGCTCCGCCCACGCCGCCAGGAGCGGGGTCTTGCCGGCGTCGACCAACGCCACGCCGTGCAACCTGCGGATCGCTTCGAGAAAGTGCAGGTTGCAACCGAGCGCGAGGTCGACGTACCCGACGGTGTCGCCGCCGAAGAAGGGCTTCCCGTTCTTCGCGGCCACCTCGGCGAACGCCTTCTCCAGCTGCGCCATCGCCGCCAGCGTCTCGTCGGCCTTCGCCGCCCTCTCCTCCTCCGTCGCCGCCCTCAAAACGCCAACCATACCAGGGACCATCTGCAGACAAACAAGCAAGCATGCAAAGCATATTCACCTGCTCATCCAAGATCCAACAGAAGCACAGATCGAACACGAGAGCTACACCACTATAGTACAGTGCTCTGTACGTACTCACCTTGTCGTCGACGTAGGCGGCCCAGAAGCGGGCGACGGCGCGGTCGTAGGGGTCGGCGGGGAGGATGGAGGGCGACGTGGGGGAGGGCGCCCAGGCCTCGTCGACGTACTGCACGATGACGAGCGACTCGGAGACGGGCTTGCCGCCATGGATGAGGACGGGGATCTTCTTGTGCACCGGGTTGGAGCTGAGGAGGAGCTCGCTCTTGTTGGCGAGGTCCTCCTCGATGTACTCGTAGCTCACGCCCTTCAACTTGAGCGCGATGCATACGCGGATCGCGAAGGGGCTCATCACCAGGCCGAGCACCTTCACGTCGTCGTCCTTGCCCGCCATTGCTTTTCCCCTTCTCTTCCTTTGATTTCCTCTCGGCTGGATACTGAGATGAGGTCTTGTCTGATACTACGGTGTTATCTGTGCGACTGACCGATTGTGCAGGATAAACACCACACGTCTTGGGCCTTTATACAGCCACAACTCCAAGTCCACTGGAGTGCTAGGAAGAGGATGAAGATGAAGGGGCTCCGCTCCGGTCTCCAACTTAATTAAAGATAGAAATATGTTGGAAAACTGCCTCTCTCGTTTGCCTTTCCAATTTTTTTCCTTGGAAGCGGAAACAAAACTGTAGAGTCAAAAACGATAACGACATCGATACTATCCATAGGGAAATCGAGACCGAGACTGAGTTATACTGATATCAGTAGAACGCCGATCTTAGATGTTGGATAACCGAATTTTATTCGATCAATTCGATCACCACTCTCAGTAAACCTAAATTGGCCGAGAAATACACTGCTATTAGTAGGACACCGGATATTTATATTAGAAACAACGAACTGTAACATCATTTATTTAACTACTCCATCTGTCTCTAAATATTTGACACTGTTGACTTTTTAAAAAATATTTGATCGTTCGTCTTATTAAAAAAATCAAGTAATTATTAATTATTTTCATATCATTTTGTTCGTCGTTAAATATACTTTTATGTATACATATAGTTTTACATATTTTATAAAAGTTTTTTAATAAGACGAACAGTCAAACATGTTTAAAAAACTCAACGGCATCAAATATTTAAAGGACGGAGGGAGTATGTATGACCATACGACTTCATCCTCACAAAATATCATACTCAAGATTTATTGAGCACATAAATATAGCCGCATAACACCGCTATTATATTTTTTAGTGGAACGTCACTATTTTTGTCATAATAATCTCCTACAGTTCTTTTTAGTGGGAAAAAGGACTTAGGAGGTTTGATTTTTTTGTGGAAATTACCGGTCAAAGGCCCATCTGATACTGACCCCTGTCCAGGAATCCTAATTGGCGCGTACACGCTGGCCCACACGGCCTTATAGGTGGTTTTTCCATATATGTGTAAACTTTCAACCCATATTTGAATACTTTCAACTCCGACTTCAAAACTTTCAATTTCGACTTGAAAACTTTCAACTCATATTTGAAAACTTTCAACTCAGATTTAAAAATTTTCAACTCGAGATTCAGAAACTTTCAACTCAGATTCGAAAACTTTCAAATCGGATTCTAAAACTTTCAATTCGAGATTTGAAAACTTTCAAGTACAGATTTGAAAAATTTTAAGTTAAGATTTGAAAAAATATGAAACTTTCGACTCAGATTTAAAAACTTTCAACTCGAGATTTGAAAACTTTCGACTTCGATTCGAAAACTTTCGACTCGAGATTTAAAAACTTTCAACTCAGATTCGAAAACTTTCAACTCGAGATTTGAATACTTTCAAATCAAAATTAAAAATTTTCAAGTTAAGATTAAAAACTTTCAACTCAAAATATTTTTTAAAAAATAAGTTTGCTAAAGATTAAAAAAAGTAATCAGAAAAAAACGAAAAAAAAAAGGAAAAAAATCGCAAAAAAAAAACGAAAGAAAAAATCGGCGATAAAAGAGAAAAAAAAAGGCCGTGGGCCGGGGGGGGCAGCTGGCGCGCGCAAGTTAGCAACACCCGGGCCGTCAACCACTCGCAGGCGCGCGGCCTGAGACTCCACGTGCGGTAGTGACGGGCTTCACGGTTTAAGCCCGGCACAATATGCCAAGCCTATGGGCCGTGCGGAGCCCGACGAAGGCGGCCTGCATTGGTAGTAGATCCGTTGCCATATCACCGCAGAATCCGTTACCGACGTTTTGCGCCTTCGTGGGACGTCAGCGTGTTACTCTGTTCAGGAATCGTAGCACTGTATCTGCTTATCATCTTCTGCACTCTCAACTCAATTCAGTAGTTGTTTCCCTTTCCTGCAGTAACCAATACAGTGCTACGTGGCCTCTCTTTTCCCCACGCATACAGTGTGTGTGTGATAGAGCGTAGAGCAGTAAAACGTCAAATAACACAACAATAGCACTGTATATCTGCAAATGATCGATGAATCAGAGAGCATACATATATATACACACGCACGCATGCTTAGACTTTACATAATAGCCCCACAAATGAACTAAACAAGACTTCAAATGGCACTCTAATATAACGCACGGTTTTATCTTCACATGAACCCATCGATTTGATCCATCCGAAACGAATAATTATTCCAAGCCACTCAGGCAGCGGTGGAAGCCGCTGCTGCACGAGCCTGCAGCTTCTTGCCGAGCTCCACCGCCACACCAGCGTCCGGCACCACCCCCTTGGCCGCCTCGGCCTCCACGAACCGCTTCGCCCACGCCGCCAGGAGCGGGGTCTTGCCGGCGTCCAGCAGCGCCACGCCGAACAACCTGCGGAGCGCCTCGAACCAGTGCAGGTTGCTCCCGAGCGCGAGGTCGACGTACCCGATGGAGTCGCCGCCGAAGAACGCCTTCCCGCCCGCGCACTCCGCGAACGCCTTCTCCAGCTGCGCCAACGCCGCCAGCGTCTCCTCGGCCTTCGCCGCCCTCTCCTCCTCCGTCGCCGCGAAAAGAACGCCAGCCATTCCAGGGAACATCTGCAAGACAACCAAGCTTATTACCAGCAGCTGCTCATCGAACAGCTTTGGAGACATGGCCATGGCCAGTACAGTGTACAGTACAGTACTCACGTTGTTGTCGACGTAGGCGGCCCAGAAGCGGGCGACGGCGCGGTCGTAGGGGTCGGCGGGGAGGACGGATGGCGCCGCGGCCCAGACCTCGTCGACGTACTGCACGATGACGAGCGACTCGGAGATGGGCTTGCCGCCGTGGATGAGCACGGGGACCTTCTTGTGCACCGGGTTGGAGGTGAGGAGGAGCTCGCTCTTGTTGAAGATGTCCTCCTCGACGTACTCGTAGCTCACGCCCTTGATGTTGAGCGCGATGCGCACGCGGATCGCGAACGGGCTCACCACCACGCCGAGCACCTTCACGTCGTCGTCTTTCCCCGCCATTGTTTTCTTCTCTTCCTTACCTCTCAGCTCGATGCTCTAGATGAGGTTTTGTGATGCAGTGCAGGATAGGCCACCCGTTTTGGGCCTTTTTATGTCGCCACAAGCTCAAGACTACTGGGAGGAGCATGAAGGAACTCCAGCAAGCGTAGACTGGGGTTAATTTGGTCAGTGCAATATTAATATACTAAAAATTGATAGATTAATTGTAAGCTAATGAGCATTTTAAGTGCAACTGCAAGAACTGGATTTTCTTGTTACTAATGTTGGTTGCCCAAAATTAAACTAATTAACCAACATCAAATATTTGGAAATGGATGGAGTAGTAAGTAAGTAATGAAATTGTGCAGACCCTCTGTATTTTTTTCCCCCCGACTCTGCAAAAAAAAAATCTCTTGGGTGTAGTGGAAATCCCAAAATTTAGTACGAGTTGGTGTAGTGATCCGAAAAGAGATTTTTTTTTTCCATTTGATTTGTACTAGAAATGGAAAACGGATCGGTTTGATTTAAGACTTGCACTTTCGCAAATCTGACTCGAAGTGGATGGCTTTCAGAAAATTCACTACAGTTACTGGCCACCTAACGCTTTAAATTTCTGAAATGGCGTTGATGCAATGCAACAAATTAAGACCCGCCGTTTAGAATTGACACTTCTCACGTCGTAAAAGGCAGCTGCTGTGACAGAGGGACGAAGAACATGAGAGTATGAGACCAAAAGCTACCATCCTAGGGCTTGTTTAGATCCTTGACAAGTTTTTTCACCCTGTCGTATCGAATGTTTAGACACATATATGAAGTATTAAATATATAAAAAAACTAATTAATCAGATTATGTGTAAATTATGAGACGAATCTTTTAAGCCTAATTGCTATATGATTTGATAATGTTGTGCTACAGTAAATATTTGTTGATGACAGATTAATTAGGTTTAATAAATTCGTCTCGCAGTTTACAAGCGGAATCTGTAATTTGTTTTGTTATTAGACTACGTTTAATACTTCAAATGTGTGTCCTTATATCCGATGTGACATGACAAAAATTTTCACCCCTAAATCTAAACACAGCCTAAATTGTCAGAAATCTGGCGGCATGTACATAAGTGACGTTTGATTGGAGCTTAAGCCTATACAACGTTTGACTTGATTTAGTCGTGCCATAATTTCTTGTACTATAATTGTTTTGTAAAATGTTATATATGATATCTTTAATTACCAGCTGACTTGAGGCTTATCCGAATTATTTCGTTGCATTTTGTTCATTGGTTAGGTGAACTACATTTTTAGGTTGCAAAAAATAAAGAATTATAACGATTCGTAAATTTAACAAAAGTTTTGTGACGTCTCTCTTAAAAAGACAATTTTTATGATGGTCCGTACTAAGTAGCAGAATCAATTAGACCTTTCATCTTTTCTTACAAATTAGTGGACCATAGAACTATTGATTATTGGTAGGATATTTTTTTTTCTATTTGTAGTAGAACTCATAAACCAGTAGTTTAGATTGTTTCCATCGGTGATAATAGTGGTAGTAATCCATAGAAGTATTCCCTATAAATTAAAAGTGAGAAACCAAGTATACAAAGTACACAAGTTTCTCCCATTCTAATTTGAAGGCCCAATAGAAATCCTTAACCAATCTGATTCCCCATTGCTAAAAGCCCAACCATTGCTCATCCACATGCTTTCTGTTTCTTTTTCCAATCAACTTCAAAAATAATGGCCCCCAAGTACACGCTGCCAGAGCACCACATATCGCATGGCCAAATATTTGCGAATAACACTATCTCCCCGATGTGACAAATGAATCCTATCACACCACACAAACTTATTGGCATCACCAAATAATCTGGGCCTTGAAAAAAAATGAGAGTATGTTTTATTGGTGACTAATACGCGCGCAACACTCGAAATTAGAGAGGAGAGGGAGAAGTGGATGGTAGTTGGTTGTCACATTAACCAGAATATATATAAGTCACTAGAAGAAAAAACATTTTCCCCAACGTTGAGGTATTATTTTCGCAGACGGACATGACTTTTGGAGCCAAATGACTGCCTATAAAAATATAAATTGGGGTGATGTTCACTGTCCGCCTGCGTAAATCTATTTTCGCAGGCGGACCACTTAAGCGTCACCTGCGAAAATCATTTTCGCAGGCGCACCTTATATGCTCCGCCTGCGAAAATGAGGAGCAATATAAATAGACCCATTTTGGAGCAAATTTTTTCTAAGTCCCATTCTCTCCCTCACTTATCCTCTCCCTCACCTCTCTCTCCCTCAGATCCCTCTCCCTCACTGACTCTCCTCTCCTCTCCAGCGGTGCGGCGGGAACGGCGGCGCGGCGGGGACGGCGACTGCATGCGGCGGCGCGACCAGCGGCGGCGGCTCCCCTCGCCCCCTCCCTCCTAGATCTGGCCAGAGGAGGGAGGGGGAGGCCGGCGGGAGCGACGGCGGCGACGACGGCGCGGGGTGGCCGGCGGTGGCTCACGTCGCCCCCTTCCTCCTAGATCTGGCCAGAGGATGGAGGGGGAAGGCCGACGGGGGCGACGGTGGTGACGACGGCGCGGGGCGGCGCGGTGCGGCCGGCGGCGGCTCCCCATGCCCCCTCCCTCCCAGATCTGGTCGGAGGAGGGAGAGGGGAGGCCGACGGGGGCGACGGCGGCGACGACGCGCGCGGGGCGGCCGCCGGCGGCTCCCCTCGCCCCCTCCCTCCCAGATCTGGCCGGAGGAGGGAGGGGGGAGGCCGGTGGCGGGGACGGCGGCGTGGAGCGGCGGCGACGACGACGACGGCTCCCCTCCCCTCCCCTCTCTGATCTGGCCGGGGAGGGGGGCGGCGGCGTGGCGGCGGCATGCGGCGATTTTTTTTTTGTTCGTTTTTTTGCATTTTTGCAGGCGGGCCGTTGCCCCGACTGCGAAAATCGATGATTTTCGCAGTCGTTGTGGCGCAGGTGGACCTCCCTCCCGCCTGCGAAAATTAGTTTTGGCCGCTTGGGAAAATTGGTTTTCTAGTAGTGAGTGGTGGATAGGAAAAATATTATAACAGATTAGGGTTATGTAGAAAGTAGGACCGGAGGGGAGGGGAGAAGCTGAGGATGCTTGAATTAGTTGTTAACACGTTGTGTTTGAACTAGTAGTTCTAATGATTTATTTATATTTTATTTGCATTACAAAAGGTTCAGAAACAAGCTAGTACCATTGTACATCTGCCTATTTGTCACAGTTGTGGTTATCCTCCCGAAAGAAAAAAAATTATTTACATGGATTTTCAAAGAAATATATTCCAATAAGATTTTTTTTAATACAACACACACACCCCTCAATGTTCCTCAAAGGACAATCGTGAACTATATGACGAGCTCTATCCTAAGAGGCAACTTCTAAGCTAGAGTAAAAGAAAAAAATCCCCAATCCCCCCGACCCCTTACCTTCCATCCCCTGTGACTTCACCGTCACCAGTGAAGCCGGGGGGGGGGGGGGGGTGCTATTTAATTCCTCCACCGATGGACTTTATATTAGGTTTCACCTGGTCTCTACCATAGTCAGGTTAGTCCTATTTTGTAAAGCTCGAGGGGTTGTCAATGTCAGCTCCATCATCACGACGATGAAAGGCAGAGTATTATACTAGAGATTGAGATCTGAAGCCTCACAAGATGCTCAAGACCATAAGTGAGGAGGCTGATCTTGGAGGCAGGAGGGCTAGCGTGGCAGTGCTCGATCAGAGTTATTACCTCCATAGGCGGTGGGTCTGACAAGACGGTAGGCGATGGTCACATCAGATCGGGTGAGGCCAATTCTCGAGTTCGATGGAATAGCGGGTCCATAGATCTAGCGCTATACGTGGTAGACCTAGAGAGATCGATGTCTTTAGCAGTCACCCGTGCTCTCCCTAAGTGTCATAGGTGGCAAGCTTTGCAGGAGGGGACTTGTAGTTTTGGCTAGAGACATTGGCTTGGTGGAGGTTGGCAAGGTGTGCACTACTCCAACCTTGATGGTGTGCATGCTGTAGGATTTAGCGGTAACCATATTGAGGTTCTTTTGACAACAAGGACTCCTGAAAACGGCATTGAATCGAACTCACCACACCTACACTACCATGTTGAGGTTTTGCCTTGCTCAGGCCTGAAAACGGTATTCGCCCAAATCATTCACATGTTGAGCTTCTTTGTGACGCCTAGGGTCTGAAAATAGTGTGGACCCAACTTATTCATACGTTGAGGTTCTTTGTGACGGCCAGGACCCGAAAACGTTATTGGACCTACTTCATTTAGTTGAATCATACTTACACTGTACTTTCATTCTCGCTTCAAAGAAAAAAGTTTGAACCGGTATTATAGATCAACTGATAGCTTTTCTATTTAAGCTGATGTTGCTCGAGGTTGGCAATTATTCGTGTTACGCTGCTGGCTGCTGCTGCCGGCCGCTGATGCTGCAGTGCTATTACTGCTGCTGGGCTGCTTGCTTGGTTGGGCCTGCTTTGCGGCTTGGGCTGCTAGCTAGCTTGCTTTGCTCTTTTTTCTTTTCCCCCAATTATTTGCGGGGTTACATTCTTGTTCGACTCTAGTCGATAGGAATGCAGTAAATGTTCCTTAGATTTGACAAAGATTTCCATGTCAATTTTTATTTGAGTCCGATAAAGCGCGTCCAGGAAATCCACGACTGGACAACAAGCTTAAAAAAGTTCAAATTCCAGGCAGCTATAGAAATCTGTCCGCGAGTACACTAGGGGTATGTTTAGTTTGCGTCAAAATTGGAAGTTTTGTTGAAATTGAAACAATGTGATGGAAAAGTTAAAAATTTATATGTGTAGTAAAGTTTTGATGTGATGGAAAAGTTGGAAGTTTGAAGAAAAAATTTAGAACTAAATTCAGCCTAGAAAAGGTCACACGATATAGTCATTGCAATTATCACGGATCCAGGTCCTATACAGTACAGCAGAGAAGAACTGTAGCTACAGCGTTCTCTCCTCCACTGCGGAGGATCCAAATTGAATTGTCACATGTCCCCAACGATACTGTTGTGTGGTGTTATCCGGAAGTTTGCTCCCTATTGTCTTAAAGAAAATTCTAGAAGTTCTCTTCCATAATTAGCTTTCAATCCAGTTTTAGAGGATGGTTGTCAGTATGTTAAATCATAAAACGCCATGTAGTGGGACATTTCAATACCCTACTCTGTACTTAATCTTCAATAAATTTGTGTCCTTGATAACGTGCTCACCCCCCCCCCCCCCCCCCAAAAAAAAAAAGTACAGAATGAAAAATCATCCCCGGCGGCTACTAGGCTGCCAACCTTTCATTATGCTCGACCAACGTGGCGAACACGTGCGTACGCGCAGGAGCAGGGCGGCGCATCACATCACAGCGAATAGTTGGCAGCCTATTTCAATAGTTAAATATTTGGAGTATCATTTTAGCAAACACACGACAATGCTGGCGCATAATTGGAAATGGATTTTGTCCAGCCGCACAGCCTGACGGTATCACTCACGCACACCAACTGCTCGCTGCTTATATAGCCTCAGGTCATTGGATACGTAACATACTGTTCGCAACGCTATATATATCGCTATCTTGGCAGCCACGATCCCAGCATTCCAAATAAGCTATATAGATCATCATCAAGACTACGTATTATTCACTATTCAGGGCATCCATCGATCAGAGAAGAGAGACGAGCGATCGATGGCTGAGGAGCTGAAGCTGCTGGGGTCGTTGTCCGGCGTGAGCCCGTACGTGATCCGCGCGCAGATGGCGCTCGCCGTCAAGGGCTTGGCGCACGACTACCTCCCCGAGGACCTCACCCGCAAGAGCAAGCTCCTCCTCGACAGCAACCCGGTGCACAAGTCGGTGCCCGTGCTCATCCACAACGGCAAGCCGGTGTGCGACTCGCTGGTCATCGTCGAGTACGTCGACGAGGCGTTCCCCGGCGGCGCCGCCGCGCTGCTCCCCGCCGACCCCTACCACCGCGCCGTCGCTCGCTTCTGGGCCGCCTTCATCGACAGCAAGGTGTTCCCTCCGTGCCTTGCCATTCTGAAGACGGCGGCGGCGGAGGCGGAGGAGGAGAAGGCGGCGAAGGTGAAGGAGACGGTCGAGGCGCTCCAGCTCGTGGAAGGGGCCTTCGGTGAGTGCTCCAAGAGGAAGCCGTTCTTCGGCGGCGACGCCGTCGGGTACCTCGACGTCGTGCTCGGGTGCTACCTGTGCTGGTTCGAGGGGGTAAGCGAGATCGCTGGCGGTGTGTCGCCGCCGCTCCTCGACGCGTCGAGGACGCCGCAGCTGGCCGCGTGGGCGGCGCGCTTCAGATCAGCGGCCGATGCAGTCGGATGCTCGGTTCCTCGGGTGGACAAGGTTGAGGCTTACCTCAACAACGTGCTCAAGCCGAAGTGGAGTGCCGCCGCCGCGGCGTCCAGCCATTAAAATTCCAATCCGTATTTGTATTTTGAAAAGTTTTTGAGCGTACCGTCAAGTACGTTATTGACGGCAGGAAAATGCCAAGAGTTGGACGTACTACTGCTATGAATTATTATTTCAGTGGATTATAGAATCTTGAACACGCGACCTGTCTCTGCTACAAATTGAGATCCTCTGGTTTACTGAAGCTATAAGTAGAGGTGCTACAGATCTATCTGAACTGTTCGATGTACACTTGTACAGTGAGCGGATCAGACTTATCGGTACAGTATTTGTTGATAGCTCCAGTGGTACTATTATATAGTTGGGCCGGTCAGAAATGAACTTCGACGGCGACGGTCCATTATATTTGGGCCTGAACAGGATAGCGCCAGATGTGCGGCCCATATTAGTTGGGCTTGAATGGGATTGCGACTGATGTGCGGCCCATATTAGTTGGGCCGGGAATGTAGTTTCTTCGAGTTGGGCATTTGGCGGCCAATTGTACCACCAACTGCATACCGATGGTGCGCGCATCTACGCACGCATGATCGAATGCATGATGTTGCTAAAGTGGCAATCAACATCAAATTCATTTTTCCAACACTGTAAAACCTTTAATATCCTCCTTGATTATCTTGGCAACCGAATAAAAACCAATCAAGGAATCTACTTACGTGAGCACAGTGCAGACAAATGCAACCAAGAAGAGAAGCTAATCCTATGCTACCAACTACAGGCTTCCGGCCTTTTTCTTTTCATTCTTTATTTTTTCCTTTGCATGTTCTACAACAAGCGTGACCCGCGCTAGCTTGTTCTAATTTCTAAATGTAATAGTAATGTATAGGCGTGGCCTAATCTGTTTCATTTTTTTTCATCAGCGATTAAGTTATAACTGGTGGTCCTGCATTGTTCACCCTCCCGCTCCCGATCCCCACCTGATTCGCCGGTCTATTAACGGTCAAGATTGTTCGGGCTTTGGAATGGACGAAGGTCATTGCGCCGCGTAGCACAAAACAAAATTTCCCGAAGGTGACAGCAGCACATCACATTCCGACGTAAGAGTAACAACCTACCTACCGGAGCACTACTCAAGCTATTATATATGTCCACTCACTCGATTCCTTCGACCAAAAAAATTCAACCACCTTATCTATCCGTCTCAAAAAAAAAAATCATGACCGATCGAATGAATGCGTACCACCACACGAAATTAAAAGCTCAGTATAAAATCAAAATGAATTGGCAAAGCGCTTGGCAAAATCCAATCAAATTCTGTCCTCTCCTGCGAACCAAAGAGAGCTTGGCAACATGGTGGTTGGGGCAGGAGGAGGAGACGAGCTCAAGTTGCTGGGCGTGTGGGATAGCCCGTACGTGAACAGGGTGCAGATCGTGCTCAACCTCAAGGGCCTGAGCTACGAGTACGTCGAGGAGGATCTCATGAACAAGAGCGACCTCCTCCTCGGCTCCAACCCGGTGCACAAGAAGGTCCCCGTGCTCATCCACAACGGCAAGCCCATCGCCGAGTCGCGGGTCATCGTGGAGTACCTCGACGAGGCCTTCGCCGCCGGCGCCGGCGGCAGCACGGGCGCCTCCGTCCTCCCCTCCGACCCCTACGAGCGCGCCGTCGCCCGCTTCTGGGCCGCCTACGTCGACGACAAGGTGGGGTCACCGTGGTACACGATCCTGTTCGCCCGGGAGAGGGGGGAGAAGGTGGAGGCGGCGGCGCGGGCCATCTCGGCGCTGGAGACGGTAGAGGCAGGCGCGTTCAGGGATCGCTCCTCCGAGGGGAAGACGACAAACGCAGCGGCGGCGCCGTTCTTCGGCGGCGACAGCATCGGGTTCGTCGACGTGGTGCTCGGCAGCTACCTGGGGTGGTTCAGGGTGATCGAGAAGATGATCGGCGTCAGGATCATGGACGCGGCGAGGACGCCGCGGCTGGCAGCGTGGGCGGAGCGGTTCGAGGCGGCGGACGCCGTGAGGGGCGTCCTCCCCGACGACGTCGACAAGGTGATCGACTTCTTGCAGGCGTTCCTCCATTAGATTTTAGGGTCGTGTTCGTGTTCTGCTGTCAACGGCTTGGATTGCTCTGTTCCGTTTACTGTGTAGGGCTGGTAAAAATGTCCCATCGTGTTTCGTGTATCTTGGCCCTAACGGAATTTTATCGTTGTGAATAAGTAGGCCTGAATTGTGCAGGCTTCAATAACTGATGGGCGAATTTGTCATGATGAATTGGGTCAGACCAGCAAGGAATAAGTTCAACTAACGTCCCTCAATTGTACGTTGAGTCTGTATGTGGTCTCCTAACCGCAATACCAAAAATGTGTATCCCTTAACTATGTAAAACCATTTAAAAAAGGTCTTGAGACAATAGAGATATCTGGTTTCGTTGATGTGGCATCCTAATCAGAAAAAAAAAATGTGAGGCCCACATGTAAGTGAGAAGAAAAAATTCGGGTCAGCAATCCTCTTCAATTTTCTTTTTTCTCTTCTTCTCTTTCGTTTTTGTGTTTGCCCCAGAGGGGGAGCGGCAGCGAGCGACGACGCGTGGCTGAAACAGGCGGAGCGTCCGCGTCGGCGGGCGAGCGGCAGCTCCCGGCGCGGGTAGAGCAGAGGGGCGGGGGACGCGGGGGGGGGGGGGGGGGGGGGGCACAGCGGGCGAGCAGCAATGGGCGAGATGTCGACGTCAAGACCGCTCTAGCTACGCCGCCTTGTGCCAGCGCTCCTCTTGCTCGTGTATGTCATTGCGAGAAGGAGCGCCCCCTCTGCTCCTTGTCTTCTCGTTGGCCCCTCGCCTCCCTTCTCTTCTCGATCGGGCTCGTCGGCCGCCGCGCCCCCCGCTTCCCCCGCCCCTTTGCTTCGCCCGTGCCCGGAGCCGCGCTTGCCCGCCGCAGCCGACGCTCCGCCTGCTCCAGCCACATGCCGCCCCGCTACCGCTCCCCGTCTGCGGCAAACACAGAAATGAAGAGAAGAGAAAAAAGAAAATTGAAGAAGATTGCTGATCCTATAGTTTTTCTTCTCACTTATATATGAGTCCCACATATTTATTTATTTATTTATATACTAGGATATCACGTCAGCGAAACCAGACATCTATACTGTCTAGGGATATTTTTTAAACGGTTTTATATAGTTAAGGATATAAAATATAGTTAAGGATACATATTTTTATGGTTTGGGGATCTTAGACAGACTCGTGTACAAGTGAGGAACGTCAGGTAAACTTATTCCGATAAGCAATGACGCCAATAATATTTGGGCTTTGAACGGGGACTGTGATGTGCTTGCGGGCCACAATTTTTGTGTAGGACGTGAAGGTCATCGAGCCGTCTCTGCTATGCTGACCGGTGACCAGTTGCCGCTAATCAGTGACGCAGAGTCACAAATGAACACCATGGCCAGGAGCGCCCTTTTCCGTTGAATGAGAGTGCGTTATACAGAAGAGGAAGGAATCATGTCATCATGTGCGCACTAATCTCTGAGTCAGTGACAAATTGTTGAGCTAAATTGTGTCCTTCGCACGGAACGAAAGGGCCACGAAAGAGAACATTGAAGACATATGTACCTTTCTCCACATTTTCTAAAGAGAAACAAGATTCTCAATGACATGCTGCTAAATGGTGTGGCTGCTAACAATCGTTCTCCCTCTCCTCTATTATGGCTGCTGCTACTACTTCCCTTTCAACAAACAGTGCATGATTCTTTTCAACAGTACAGGCGTTTCATCCAGCCGCCTATATCTCCAAATATCTTCCGTTAAACAGTCATTTGTACTAGTAAACTGAACCCAAAAAAACAGCACGCACTAGCACAGAGGCCTCTAGCAGCCAGCTACTCCAGTCTTGTTGCCACGAGGCAAAATTATCGTCCTAATAAACAAAAACAAAAGGGAGGAAAGAACTTGACCTTCTCCATCATCAGTGACGACCATGCTCGCGACATCAACCGATCAGCTTGGTTCGAAGAACGCTCTCATTACCATCAAGCTGGCCAGGTTCATCGGTACAAGTCTGTCATATCCGGCTATATAACGCCATGGCCAGAGTCGTATAACGTCATAAGCAAACCAAACAAAAAAACCTCACCATCATCGACCCACTTGTTCCTAGCGATCTAGAACGAGAGACTTGGCAATGGCGGGAAGCGGCGAGCTGAAGCTGCTGGGCGTTTGGAGCAGCCCGTACGCGATCAGGGTCCGCGTCGTCCTCAACCTCAAGTCGCTGCCGTACGAGTACGTGGAGGAGAACCTGGGCGACAAGAGCGACCTCCTCCTCGCCTCCAACCCGGTGCACAAGAGCGTCCCCGTCCTGCTCCACGCCGGCCGGCCGGTGAACGAGTCGCAGGTCATCGTGCAGTACATCGACGAGGTCTGGCCGGGCGGCGCCGGGGGACGCCCGTCCGTGATGCCCTCTGACCCCTACGAGCGCGCGGTGGCGCGCTTCTGGGCCGCCTACGTCGACGACAAGGTCCGGCCGGCGTGGCTGGCCATCCTGTTCGGGAGCAAGACGGAGGAGGAGAGGGCGGCGGCGGTGGCGCAGGCCGTGGCGGCGCTGGAGACGCTAGAGGGCGCGTTCGGGGAGTGCTCCAAGGGGAAGCCGTTCTTCGGCGGCGACGGCGTCGGGTTCGTCGACGTCGTGCTCGGCGGCTACCTCGGGTGGTTCACGGCGATCGACAAGCTGATCGGTCGCAGGCTGATTGACCCGGCGAGGACGCCGGCGCTGGCCGCGTGGGAGGAGCGGTTCCGCGCCACCGACGCGGCCAAGGGAGTCGTGCCGGATGACGCCGACAAGCTGCTCGAGTTCAGGCAGACCCTGCTTCGCTGGAGCGCATCCAAAGCAAAGTGAGATGACATGACACGACTGTTTTCGCCATGGTGATGCTGAATCTAAGTATGCTGTACGTGTGTTTGTATAATAACAAGGAGAAATGCTGCTGCACGATTGAGTTTCCTTGATCGATTCCTCAGCATAGTTTCTTTTTTTTTTATCTAGCTATATATTTAATATATAGCGCCATGTTCTTCATAATAAAAGGGCTATTTTAAGCTGTAAATTGCATACATTTGTATTTACATAATAAAAAAATGAATCTTACGTTGTGTTGTTTTTCTGGTTCGCACTTCGCACTGAACAACAGAATTAGGATAAGACAATAAATTGCCTATCAGGAGATAAGAAATATTGAAATATACTTACATAATGGAAGTACTAGCAATCATATAGGAAACAACTGGATGAAATAAACCCAAAATAGGGAATAGTGACTGAAATAAAATAAAAAGTGATGGCAATTTTTTAGAAAAAAAATGTTCTTTTGTCCTCAGCGAAGTGTCAATATCACATTCTTTCAGCTTAGCTGAACAAAGATCTACCGCAAAGAATCCTTCCGATCTTGCTAACTTCACTGAAATCTGACGAGCGTCCTGGCGCAATAAAATAGGCTATTCGGCTGGAAGCTGCAGCGCTAACAGCCTAACATACGCTGAACGTAGCTACGAGACGCTGAAATTTGTATGCTAGCCAGAAAGTTTTGAGACGGGACTGTTTGATTCAGATTAGAATTATTATAATTTGGATTATCAGTAGTAAACTAAAATAAATAGATAGCTTATTATGATAGATTATTATAATCTATAAGCCAGATTACTATAATCTGAAATTACTATAGTCTGGTAAGCCACTCTAAAGATGCTTTTTTAGATTATTGGGTAGTTAATAACTAACAAACAGATAATAATCCAGATAAACAAATAGCTACCAGCTTATTCTATGTCGGCTTATTATAATCCAGCTTATGATAATTTAGTTCTACAATCTATTATAATCTAACTTATGATAATTTAATTCTACAATCTATATTATAATAATCATAAGTTGAAACAAACGGGACCTTACTTTCTTCACCACCGGAGACCAAACACACGTTTTGATGCAGAGCATATTACCTCTGTTTTTCTTTTGGACTAGATCTCTCTCTTGACTTTCTTACGGCTGCCAAGCGGCGTGAGACAAACTGTGCGTTGTGCAGTTGGCACGTCCCACTCGCCTTACACTTTCTTTATGTCCTTAGGGCATGTTTTGTTCCCGAAAAGAAAATTTTTAGATGTCATATCGGACGTTTGACCAGATGTCAGAAAGGGTTTTCGGACACGAATAGAAAAATTAATTTTATAACACGCTTGGAAACCACGAGACGAATCTTTTGAGCCTAATTAATCCGTCATTAGCATATATGGGTTACTGTAGCACTTATGGCTAATTATGGATTAATTAGACTCAAAAGATTCGTCTCGCGATTTTCCCCTAACTGTACAATTAGTTTTTAAATTTATCTATATTTAATACTCTATGCATGTGTCCAAAGATTCAATGTGATATTTTTTGAAAAAGTTTTTGGAAACTAAATATGGCCTTATCTAACTAGGAAATTAACCACGTTAACCAGAAAAGATTTACTCCCTCCATTCTCAAATACTAACCATTTCTATTATTTAAATTTTATACATAATATAAATATTTCTGAAACTTTTCTTTGGACGAACAACGTCTTGTGCGTTGTTTTATATTGATATAAATGGAAAAAAAATTATGATTATAGTCCTGAAAAGCTATAATAGGAAAGGAAGAAACAAACGACCACCATAGCTGTGTTTAGTTCCATTTAAACTTTCAAAAATTCCGTCACATCAAATGTTTGGATATTTGCATGAAACATTAAATGTGGACGAAAAAAACCAATTGCACAGTTTGCATGTAAATTGCGAGACGGATCTTTTAAGCCTAATTACGCCATGATTTGATAATATAGTGCTACAGTAAACATTTGCTAATGACGGATTAATTAGGCTTAATAGATTCGTCTCGCAGTTTACAAACGGAATCTGTAATTTGTTTTGTTACTAGTCTACGTTTAATACTTTAAATGTGTGTCCGTATACTTAAAAAAAATTTGAAGTGGAACTAAACACGGCCCATATGTGTAACGTCCCGCCTTCCCCCAGGCCGGGCCCACTTATATCTGATAGCTTTCATAGGTCATAGACTGCCCTCACAGACCAACACATGTCTTTTCTGCACACTTCACCCATCCCAAATTGCTCCAGGCCAACCCAAATTGCTCCAGGCCAAGCACGCTTAACCCCGGAGTTCTTTGGAGATTGGCTTCTGGAAAAGAAGTTGCAACTTGTTGATATGAGTATTCTATTAATCCTATTAAGCCCTAGGCCGGGATGTTACACCCTCACCCCCTTAAGAGAGATCGACGCCCCCGTCGATCAACCCTAGGCCAGGAACGTCCTCTCTTGGCCACGTCCATGTGTCCAGTGCCAGCGCATGGCGCATGTGCCATGCTGTGTAACCACTCCCGGTCTACACCAGCCATGCGCACCATGCCTACGCAACTGCGACACACGCGCCCGTGAAACCGCGAGTCAACCCTAGGCCAGGAACGTCCTCTCTTGGCCTCGTCCATGTGTCCAGTGCCAGCGCATGGCGCATGTGCCATGCTGTGTAACCACTCCCGGTCTACACCAGCCATGCGCACCATGCCTACGCAACTGCGACACACGCGCCCGTGAAACCGCGAGAGTCGGCTCTGATACCATTTTGTAACGTCCCGCCTTCCCCCAGGCCGGGCCCACTTACATCTGATAGCTTTCATAGGTCATAGACTGCCCTCACAGACCAACACATGTCTTTTCTGCACACTTTGTCCTCACTCGTGTGCACCTGGGAAGAATTTCCCGGTCGGTCACCCATCCCAAATTGCTCCAGGCCAAGCACGCTTAACCCCGGAGTTTTGGCTTCCGGAAAAGAAGTTGCAACTTGTTGATATGAGTATTCTATTAATCCTATTAAGCCCTAGGCCGGGATGTTACAATATGCTGACTGCACATAACTAGACCAAAGGACTAATAGCGCACCAATCGCTATGCGAGATCGGAAGCCACCAGAACCACAACGCAGCCACAACTGAACTGCCCACCAACACGGACAACAGAAGCCAAGATCTACCAGACAACCACCGAGAGGGGTTGCAGAGGGAAAGGGCAAGAGAAAAAAAGATCCATTCCTCCCTCACACAGACCCGCCATCGTCCAAAAACTTTTGCCCAACTGCTCGAAGGCTGAAGGCGGAAACAGGACCTAGGCGACGCCTCTAAGAAGGAAGGATAAGACACCAAAGTACCATCGTCGCCCGCCCAGGAAAACTGAAAATGGTTTTCACCCGAGGTGTCCTACCAAGGGGAGACCGGGAGAGCGAGGTGCCTCAATAACGCCCTCTAGAGATATAACAACACTCAAAAGTGTCATCTTTGTTGGCCCAACAAGCCATTGGGCTAGACTCTCACCTGCCGCATCCCCCTGCAGCTGTAGTCGTACTGCCACACCAACCTCCATTGTCGTTGGCATGAGAATTCCGTTCATCAACGCCCCTCCACGGGCCATCCTCAACCTAACTGTGCACCCTAGGCTATCGTAGGATAAATCCACCTCAAGGACCGAGTACACCTGCCCTCCCCTTAAGTGGATTTGTCCTACCTCCATCGACCTCACCAACCTATGCCATGGGCCAGATCACCACCGGGCCGAACACACCCTCTCTCCCCACGCTAGATCTGGTACGTAACTGTAGCCTGGTGCTGTCGTAGTCTCGATTGTCGTAGGGATTGAGCTCACCTGCCCTTCCTCGGCGTGCATCTAGCCCACGGCGCCATCTCCGGTTGATTTCTTCCTTCACATTTCTCCTCCTCTGTGCTACACCGGGCGCCTAGTATGGAGGGTGGACGCACCACTGCCTCGCTTGCACAGGTCGCTGGCGTGCCGCAGCAGCACCGTGTCGCCTCCCTTGGTCACACCCCGCCACGATGCCACCTGGACTCCAGGTCACCGGTCGTCGGAAAGCCCCGATACCGACATTCACATGGACGCATCCCCATCACCTCCACTCCACAACGCGCCGTCTACTCGCTTTCCTAGCTACATTCCACCACTACCATCATAGCGAGCCGTTGGCTTTGCTGGTTGCTCGCTCTGGTGGCAGTGAAGTAGATGAAAGAGGGGATAGGTGGCAGTGGTGGCTAGGGTTGCGCGAGGGTGACGACGCGGACGTGGGGGAAAGGGGACTAGGTTTATTTCTGAAACATTGATTCCAATATACGGTAATATAACTATTTTCAATCAATTAAGTGCTTAGGAAGAAAATCTAAGCCTTTTAAAATTCAACGAATTAGGTGATTAAAATGATTCTTTCTTCATTACTTTAGTATAGTTGCTATAAACAATTTAGATTTGCTTATATTTAAGAACGAAGGGGTACTTATTAGGTGGAATGTAGCCCATTTAACTTCGGCTTAAAACCTGACTGTGATCTACATGCGTTTCATTTTATTTGGGCCTAAATAGGTTGTGATCTACGTCCAAAGCCATTGGTTTTTGGCAAAATTTGCTACAGGACACACAAAAAACGTGTAATTGGCTGAGGGACACCGCGAAAACGTGGAGCTGCCCCAGGACACTACAAAAACTGTGTAATTTGTTGTAGGACGCTAGCGACATTATTTTATCATTTCCCTATTGAAAGTGGTCTCTTTTTTTTCGAAATGCCCAGATTACCCCTGTCGCCATCTATAGCTGACTCGGTCGAGTCGAAACGGGGTCGGTCTCTTTCATCGCCACACACCACCGAGGAAAAAAATCCCCAATCCCTAACCCTAGCTTGCGGCGGCGGCGGTGGCGGTGGCGGCGAAGGTGGCGGGGGAGGCTTCGGCGACGGCGGCGACGAAGACGGCGGCAACGACAGCGGCGACAGCAGCGGCGACGGCGGGCGATGGAGAAGTGACATTGGCAGGGAGGATGGCGACGCCGAGGAAGAAGTTAGCAGTGAAAAGGGCATCAATGCGGTTGATGAGTTGTGAGCTTCCTTTGAAGGCATTGGACATGTCTTGGGTTCCTGAAGGGTAAGCTTTGTGAACTTTAGTTAGGAAATAGGGTAGGAAGAGTTCTGATTTCCACTGATATGTGTTGCGATGTTCTTTGGGATTTGATTGAAATGTGTTCATTTTATTTGGGTTTTTTTGCCGCGTAGGATGGACGCTAGCTCAGCTTGCAG